CCCCACACACACGAAGCATCCTCTCCCCCCTCTCTGTCTGTCTGTCTGTCGGTCTTACCTGGCCCTGACAGGACGACCTACGGCACGGTGCTGTCCGAGTTCAACGAGTCGCGGCACTACGTCGACGACGACGCGCCGCCCAAGGAGCAGCCCAAGAAGCCCACCAAGCAGGAGCGGGCCCTCATCAACCAGCCCAGCATACTCAGCTTCTTCAACCCAAAGGGTGCCGACGGGCCAGTCGAGGCCCTCGCATCCGCTCCCGTGTCGTCGCCCCTCTTCGCCATCAAGTGGGTGGGAGGGAGGGAGGGTGAGATGCATGGCAAGTGTGTTGGCAACCCATGTGTGGTGACGTGTGTGTGTGTTGTGTGTGCAGGTGGAGTCGCATCATATTGGACGAGGCGCAGATGATCAAGGAGAAGACCACCAAGACGTGCAAGGCGTGCTGCAGCCTCAAGACCACACCCAACGGGGCGAGATGGTGCCTTTCAGGCACACCCATACAGGTCAGCCACACGCCACAGGCAGGGCAGGGCAGGGAGAGAGGAGGGATGTATGTGTGTGTGTGTGTGTGCAGAACAGTTTGGAGGACGTTTATGCGTTGATGAAGTTCCTGCGCGTCAGACCCTGGGCATCACATGCATGGTACGTGGCTGTGGGGGTGTGCACACCGCCACAGCAATCCATCCATCCATCCATCCATCTCGTGTGGTGGCTGTCTGTGTGCGTCATCCATCCACTAGGTGGCGTCGTCTGATCACGGTGCCTTTGCAGCGGGGCCAGGCGGAGTCGGCCATCCAGGCGCTGCGCCTCCTCACCAAGAGCATCCTGCTGCGTAAGACCGTCCCATCCCCCCTCTCCCCTCCACACACAGACACAGACTGTCAGACCATGTGATGTGTGTGATTGTGCATCCATCTCTTTAGGACGCAACAAGAGCTCGAAGGACTCCGACGGCAACCCCCTGTGCGTCCTGCCACCACTGCACGGTGAGTGATTCCAGCGGAAAGGACCCATGCCATGCAGAGAGCTGTCCCGTCCTGCTGCATTGCAATGCAATGAAATGCATTCACGGGGGGGGTTGGCTTGTGTGTGTGTAGAGGAGACGTTGATGCTTGAGATGTTGCCCGAGGAGCGAGAGGTTTACGAAGCCATGCAGACGAGGGCCCAGCAGGAGTTCAGAGACCTCATGCGAAACAACGCACTCAACGTGTCCAGCGTCCTCGGTAGGTAGCCACACACACAACGCTCCCCTCTCCTCCATGTGGTGTGTGTGTGTGTGTGTGTGTATCTGCCCATCGACAGGTTTGCTGACCAAGTTGCGGCAGTGCACGTGCCACCCGTCGTTGGCGAGGGTTGCTGGCGAGGAGGGTGCGGCGCCGGAGGACGGCCCCCTGAGGGACTTCATCTCAGTCAAGGTGGCCACGCTGCTCGAACGACTCGCACACACCACCAAGGTCAGCGAGCCGACGGCAGCTGATGCACCAGGACACATGGCGCATGTGTGTGTTTGGATGATACGCAGGAGGGGAAGCGTTCTGTGGTCTTCTCGAGGTGAGATGGACGGACGGACAGAAGACACGGACGCAACCTAACCTGCTAACCTGGTGCCATTCAATGTGTGTCAGTTTCACCTCGTTTCTCGACATCCTGGAGGGGTTCCTCAAGAAGCGCCGCATACCGTCACAAAAGCTCGACGGCAGAACCACTGTCGAGCAGCGACGAAAATGCGTAGGGACCCCCACCTGCCCACACAGATTTTGCCCCTCCACACACCATGTGATCGGTGTGCATTAATGCGTCAGGTTTCGTGGTTCCAGGAGGAGCAGCAGGAGGGCAGCGATGTGCAGGGCCGCACACTGCTCGTCAGCATGCGGGCGGGCGGCACCGGACTCAACATGACCGCTGGTCGGTCGGTCGGCCGACGCGCACTCACACGGACGGGAAGGGCCACATGTGTGCGTGCGTGTGATGTCAGGTGAGGTGGTGTTCCTGTGTGACCTGTGGTGGAACCCCGCCACAGAGAACCAGGCCATCAGCAGAGTACACCGCATCGGACAGACACAAGAGGTCAATAGGAGGAAGGGAATGCACACACGCACACACATCAATGAGCAGACACACACGTGTGTGCATTGTTCCCTCTGCCTGCCTGCCTGCCTGCGTGTCTGTCTGTCTGCAGGTGAACGTCTTCCGCCTCGTTGCCAAGGAGACCGTCGAGGAGAACATTCTCACCCTGCACGCGCAGAAACGAAACGCCGCACGGTAGGTACAGATGATATGACCACCCACACACACGCCACAGCCACCCATCACCCATCATGGGAGCCCTGCTGTGTTGTTTTGTGTTGTGTTGTGTTCAGGCGTGTGTTGGACTCATCAGGTCTGAGCGGGAGCAAGTTCAAGCTGACTATCGAGGACATCCGCATGCTCGTCTTCTCCAAATTCGGGGGAACAAACGGGCCGGAGGCCGCCGGCAATACGTGACAGATCGACTCACCAGCTGGCAACATCTGTAGCTACCGTGCGATGTGTGGACGCGTGTGTGTGGGTGTGCGGTGCGGTGGATGCGTGGACCGTATGGTGTCTGTCCATTGTGTGCACATGTGAATCAGTTGCGAGAGCGGCTAGCAATTTGCAAATTGGACAAGGTGAAAGCGCTGGCGTTGTCGGGCGTCCTGTTGGCTGTTTCCGCCTTGGTTGAGCAAATGATGGACGCTGCTATGCTAAGCTAGTTGAGCAAGCCAAGCCGGCGCCTTACTTATTTCGTTCGAGCAGGCATCAATCAAAAAGACGCAAAAAGTGCCACTTACACACCCCTGCATATATCTGTCCATCTGTCGAACGTCACGCGCTCAGCTACTTTACACACATCAATCAGGCAGGCAAGACAGCAGGAGTCCCACTCACTCACCAGCAAGGCCTCTCTCTCTCACCTACACAAGTTGGCTCTCATCCCACTCGCTCTCTCACCCGCAGCCCCCACATCCCGTTCCTTTCCATCACAGGAGCACTAAATCGGGGTCCTCCTCGTCCGTCTTGAGGCCGCCTGCACACACACACACACACACACGGAGTCACACAACCGGTCTCTCTCTGAGCTGCCAGCTGCCCTTCTGTGTGCAAGTGCCCACAGACAGACATACCTTCGTAGTTGTACTCCGGCCGTGTGGGCAGGATCTCGAACAGGTCGGCGTCCACCGCCTTGAGCCGCGCACACAGGTCTTCGTACTGATCCACCGTCTGCAGTGCACACACGCAACCACACGACACACAACACAAAAGCACTGATGCAGATGCGTGTGAGGGGGGTCCGGTGTGACAGACCGGCCGACCGACCTGGCAAACGAATCCGAGTGCCATGGAAGGGTTGAGCGACGACCATGCGAGCTGCCGCGGCTCGGATGGGTGTACCTGGCAGGCGAAGGCCGCCAGCTGCTCGGGGGCGGTGGGCGAGGGGATCTCGGTGAAGGCAGCCTGCCCGCCGTGGCGCCACGTTCGCCGCCGTTTGCAGAGGCCAAAGGGGCAGCACAGATCGCGACACCAGCAGCACCCAGACACACACACCTCCATCCACCAGGAACCAACCGCAGGCACCATCACATGCACACACACACACACACACACACAGAGGGAGAGAGGGAAACAAGGCAGGGAGGGGCGGAGGGCAGTCAGAGCGAATCGTGCATCGGGTGCCGCTGCCCATGGGTGCCTTGCATTGCATTGCAGGCATATATCGGTGCGTGCGTGTTACCTGGCATTTGGAGTGAGGGTCCAGGAAGTAGAGGTTCTCGCGGTTGGCCGCCACGAAGAAGTACGCGCTGTTGGCCGGACCACCACCTGCACACAACCACAGACATACAGATGATGGATGATTCATGTGTATGTCTTTGTTCGTGCAATGGTGGATGGATGGATGGATGGCTGGATGGATGGCTGGATGGATGGTGTCTATGGACTCGCCTGCAAGGCCCTGGAACTGTGGGATGGAGAAACAGGCCTGGATGGGGCTCTGATACTTGTCAACGTTGAAGCTGTCCACACCCAGACGCAGACACAACCATATCACCACACCGCTGACACACACACACACACACACACACCTGTCAGCCAGAGATTTCTCCCTGCCTGTCTTCGTTTGTTCGCACGCACCTGACATCCTCTGCAGGCCCGCTGCTTTCCCTCTTGGCCTGTTGGGCTGCCTGTGGCTCATCTGCTGTGGGGCACTCGGAAGGCGATGATGACGGCCCTGCTGGTGCTGACGGGCCACCACTGCTCGACGAGGCGCCGGCAGCCTTGTCCGCAGCCTCCTTCCGTGGGACGCCACTGAAGGCCTCAAGGACCTGCACACAGACAGACACAGACACAATCAGTCCACTGAATGAACACATTTGTTCGGTCGCCCGTGTCACCTATATACCTCGTTGGTGTATATGATGCCCTCAGGGAAGGTCACGCACCGCAGCCCACAGCTCTGCGCCCCGTGTTGGTCCATCAGGCTCTTGACGGCAAGTGCGCCAGAGGTCGGCCCGAACCACTCGCTCGGCCGCTTCCCCAGCTTGAGGCCCTCCCTAACGATGTTGTGCAGCGAGAAGGGGGCGGACGGGGTGTCCATGAACAGCGCTATTAGCTGCCAGAAGGTGGCCCCCGGTGTGAGGTCAGCCCGCGTGTTGAATCGCCAGTCCCTGCCGAGTGTGTGGTAGATGAGGCACTGGACGAGTGCCATCTGAGTGACGCGGATCATGCAGCCCCAGCCGGCGTCGCTGAGGATGCCGCCCGCCTCCCTGTGGACGGCCGAGAATCCGTGTGGCGGGGGGGAGGCGTCCATCTCAATCATGTCCTGGTCCTGGCTGATCGGGGTGAACTGGTCGCGGTAGGTGAAGAGGGTCCTGCTGCAGAAGTCGTCGAGGAACTGCTTGTTGCTCTCGGGGCTGGAGAGGTCGTACTCGCACGCCAGCATCACCACCTGGGGCGGGTTGGCCCGCCATGGGAACGGGATCAGGTTGACGATGGCCGCCTTGAAGGCACGGTACCAGGTCGTCGATGGGATGTTATTCGCCCAATTCGACAGCGTCTGCATCTTGCAGCGGCGTCTTCTAGGATGAGTGGTGCCGCAAGCTCAAAGAGCCAGGGCAGGCGCGAAAACAATTGAAAAAGATCTTCGCTGGCTGAAATTGCGCACCCCACGTAGCTCAGGCACTTCAGCAGCCTGCCCCAGTACTGAAACCTCAAGAGATCTACCTCAAAAGCATCAATTGGCATCTTGTCAGACGCCGTCCACTTCACTCGGCAGGTGGGGCCTCGTCAGGCTTGGACGCTCAGCAACGCCATTGCTTGCGTGTGCCTTGCTTGCTGCAGCTCTGAGGGCCAGATATCATCCATGAAGCCATCGCACCTGTTCGCGCTGCCCGCTCTGGTCCTTCTCTGCATCGCTCTGGTCAGTCAGCCATGTGGAAGATCTCTGTCTGGGTATGCTCACTGCTTTCTTTCTCTGTGTGGGCGTGCAGGCGTCGGCCCTCCCATCGAGGCACCTGCGCACGTCGGCTGAGAGACGCCGCGCCCAGGTCGAAAGTGACTATCAGGTGGTGGAGGGCGCCGGCTACGGCGGCCGCCACGACAACGGCACTGCCAACGTGTCCGCCGAGGAGGTGCCTCCTGGATATGGTGGCTACCATGCCGAGGAGGAATCAGGTAGGGTAGATCTACCTAGCACATGTAGAGATTGAGACACATGTGTTAGAGTGCGTCAATCGGTGCTCTCTTGCTCGCTCGTCTGCTGTCAGGCTATGGCGGTGTCCATGGCGACGAGTCGGCCACGCCAGAAAGCGTTCCCGCTGGTGAGGGCAAAGTCTGACTGACGGATGCGGGCGGGCACACGTGTCTGTCTTTAATGCTCGTGTCGTGTCTGGTTAATACTGGTCAGGCTACGGCGGTGTGCACGGCAACGCGACGACAGAGGGAGAGAGTGGCTACGGAGGCATCCATGGGTCCGAAGAGGCCACACCGGAAGGCGCCCGTGCAGGTCAGAACAGACGATCTGAGGGAAGACCTTCCCACACAAGCAAGCTCGGGACATTCCCTCGTTTTTCTTTGGTCGTGGTAGGTTATGGCGGTGTGCACGGCAATGCCACTGCAGAGGGAGAGAGTGGCTATGGCGGCATTCATGGGGGCAATGCGGGCAATCTGACTGATGCCGAGCTCGAGGCGATCGTGGACCGCGTTGAGAGTGGTGCGGGCTATGGCGGGGCGCACGGCGACATCAAGGAGGAGGTCGAACGCATCATCGAGGAGAGGGAGGCTGCGGCTCTTGCCAACGGCGATGGCAGTGCGTAGCCGGCGGCTTTTGGCCCACATATTGGGCTGAGTCGCTGTCTGCACGACTGCATTGTATGTATGTGTACGCCTTGGCCCCTTCCTATGTTCCCCCTCCTCTCTTCTCCTCTCCTTCGTTCGTTCGTTCGTACGCTTCTTTGTGCTTCTCGCGCCCGCCTTGTTGACGAGTCGGTCGTCGAGCGCTTTTTCGTGGCGTCTGTCTGTCTCTGTGTCGTCCCTTATCGATCCTTGAGATTTTCCAAGCGCGTGACGCGCGTTTTGTGTATCCCCTGCTGGCTCGATACTCGTGTGTGCCGGACGTATGCGTGTCGTGTCGTGTCTGCATGTGGTGCGCGTGGTGATAGTCGAGCCAGTGGGTCACAGACCAGCTGCCATCTGCTTTAGGGGAGTTCTTACTCACCTGCATACGAGTTAGTATCGTACGGTACCGAATCCCTCCCCCCTCCTACTCACTCTACTGGCTGGTCCTGACTGACGGGTGCTTGCTGACTGTCATGTCACGCGAAGCGTTTGCAGGTCGATCGATGGGTGTGGCGTTTCTGTCAATGTGTTGATGTGTGCATGTGTGCGTGTGTGCATTGCATGAGTGTCAGAGGGACACCTGACGACATTTCGAGCGCACTGGAGCGCCCCGCTGAGTGTCACGGACCCTCGATGTGTGCCTGTATCTCTCTCTCTCTCTCTCTCTCCGTCTCAATCTCTGTCTGTCTCAGTGCCTGTATCGCCACTGTGTGTGGGCATGATGGGGAAGATGCGCATGCATGTCCTCATGTCTGTGGGTTGATCGGATTGATGGGGGACGGGGGTGGGTGCCTTTGTGCATCTTTGTGGATACCTGATGGTCGCATGCCCTTTATCACTGGATGGATGGATGGATGGCCGGTCTCATTTTCAGGCCAGGCTTGTTGTTGGCCTTTTATCGATGGCCCTACGGTGTTGCAGGGCGGGGCAGCCGCAGACAACGTGATTCTGGCAATGATCGATTTGTTTCACGCATGGACAAGGGCAAAGGGCATCTCGCCACATCAGGCTAGAGCGGTAGATAGATACGTTACATGAGTCAACGAATCAACCAACGTCAGCCAGGCCGAACAAGACACGATATCTACACACCCAACAGTTCTTCGCGGATGACCAGCCATCAACACCCCCCCAAAAGAAAAGGGCAGCGATGAGCGAGGCAGAGGCTAGCAGAGTTCGGCGAAGCAAGCGTCGAGACTGTCCTTGTTTTCCACGAGAGCGAACACCCTCTCAGGGGGGAAGCCCAGCTCACACAAAGTGCCGCCCATCGACTGCTTGGCGCGACGAATCGTCTCAGCCTAACACACATACACGCGCGCGCGCGCACACAGAGAGGTGAAACAATCATCCATTGCACACACGCCATGCATCTCCACTGGCAGCCTCACTACCCACATCCACACCTGGTCGATGAAGACCTCCAGGTCGGCTCTGGCGGCACAAAGCCTCGTGACGGCCGACATCGCCCCACCAATGTCGCCATCCCTCAGCGACCGCTGCAGCGCCACCGCATCAGCAGACGGGTCGCCAGACGCCATTGAAGGAGAGGGGGATGATTCCGCTGGGCTGCTTGGGTATGTGGCGATGCCGTCGTCGGGCACTCTGTTGCGGTCGTCGATGATCCATTCCTTGAGCTGAGTTGGTGTCATCTTGGCCATCCACTGAGGCATCCACACACCGCTGCTACTCACGTAACCAACTGAATCAAGCACACTTATACACCATTAGAGTTTCACACAGATCTGCAGAGCTGATGCGTCTGTGGTCTCACCTTGGTGCTTGTTGCCTCGTGTGGTTTTGGTCCATTTGGTCTCCGCAGCGCATCGGGTGAGGTATGCGTAGCGCTCGTTGGCTTCCCAGTTGGATGCCGGGCTGCGCGACAACAACTCACTCGTGACTTCAGCAATCGTCCTGACGGCCACGTATGCTTCCGCTGCCGTCATCATGGTTCCTTCAAGTTTCGCCGCTTTGATGCGATCCAGCTCGCAGGAGAAGAGAGGGGAGAAAATCCATCGGCAAGGGCTCAGATGGACCAATGGAAGGCGTTGCCGAAGGTCTGTGGCTGAGATACGTTGATCTGCCAAAAACTGGTCCTCTGTGTGTGTGTGTCTGTGTGTGTGTGCAGGTGGAGCTGCATTGCCATCTGGAGGGTGCTGTTCGGCTGTCGACCATCCTCCACTACTGGCACAAATACGGCCTCCAGACAGAGGACCATGAAGCTGATCTCAAGGATTATTTCCAGCCCTCCCGCCCACTGCCGAATCTATCAGCCTTTCTGTCGGTGTTCGGCCGCTCCCAGGTGCTCTATCGCGAGGCAGAGTTCTTCCGCCGCATCGCTTATGAGGTCTGCGAGGACAAGGCCCGTGATGGCGTGCAGCTGCTGGAGCTCCGCTACGCCCCTGCCCATTGCTCGCCTGACCCCCCGCCCGCCAGCTTACCACACCCCCTGTCCTATGACGAAGTGCTGGGTGCGGTTGCTGAGGGGATACGTGAGGCGGAGAAAAAGTTTGATATAGAGGTCGGACTGATCTGCCTGGCGGTCAGCACGCTGGGCGCGGATTCAGTCAAGAAGACCGCTGAGTTCGCCGCCATCCATCGTGACATGTTCTGCGGTGGGTAACACATGCATCGACGGACCTGCACAGACACACCACAGGCAGGCACATGATTTTCTGTCTGTCTGTCTGTCTGTCTGTCTGTCTGTCTGTGTGCAGGATTGGACGTTGCCGGCAGTGAGGATGACCTCGAGTGGTGCTGGCCCCTTGTCAAGGGCGTGGGGCTGCCCCTCACTGTCCACTGCGGTCAGGACATCTGCTCGAGGGCCGCAATGGAGGGGCGGGCCAAGGACAACGTGCGCTTTGCCGTGGAGCAGATGGGTGCCACGCGAATCGGCCATGGGGTGCGTTCTGGGGAGGAGGGAAGTGCAGAGAGGCCGCCTCAGACACCGCACCCGAGCCCACCGTCACATGTATGTGCCTTTCCTCGTGTGTCGTGTCCTGTGTAGGTGTTGGTGGGTCGGGACGAGGCCATGGTGGAGTGGCTGAATGAGAGGGACGTGCTGCTTGAGCTGTCCGTCACCAGCAATGTCTTCACGGGGGCAGTAAAGTCCGTCGAGGCGCACCCGCTGCCCTTTTTCCTCTCCAAGGGGCTACGTGTGTGCGTCAATACAGGCAAGTGCTTCCGCACACACACACACATACACAATCGGCCCCTTAGAAGCTACCAGCTGTACGCTGTCACCCATTTTGTCCATCTGCAGATGATCCTGGCGTTACGGGCAGCGGCATAGCAGAGGAGTACGCGATGCTCAACGCCCGGCTGGGGATCTCTGAGGCTGATTTTCTGTTAACGAGCATAGACGCGTTACGTGGCTCGTTCCTCCCTGACGACAGGAAGGTTCGTGTGCGAGAACGGCTGGACTGTGCCCTGGCTGCTGCGCGCGGATGAATCCATGCACCTTCATCTATTGCATCGTTGTGCTCTATCCATACGTGTCGAGGAAGGGAGGTGCTCCTTGAGCAGATCTCACCGGGAACCGCAGCCCTAGACCCACCAAACCCTACCCTTAGAACGTGGTAAATGAACTGCGCGCATTCATAAGCGTTCTTCGGTTCAAAAGCGTTCTTCGGGAGAAGGCAGAAATTCTCACGATCTTCTCACGAGCCATCACATCTCGTCTTCTCAAGGCCTGGCATCTCTCTCGTCTGTTGACACCGCCTGGATGACCTCCCCGGCTGATCCGTCCAAGGGTGAGAGCATGACGGGTGGGATATGAATGCATGGCTGGTGGGTGGGTTGGAGGGTGGATGGATGAGGAGGCGGCCTTTGCAAATGAGGATGGATGGATGGATGGAGCTCTCATCATCGATGTAGGCACGGGCCTCGAGGAGGGGCTCCAGAGAGAGCACGTGACCGCAGAGCCGAAGGCCGACTCGGAGGGCAAAACTCGCGGTGCGGATGGGCGGGGAAGACACAACAAGGCATGATGGTGTGTGTGTGGATGGGGATCTGTGTGTGTGTGTGTGTGTGTGTGCGCGTGGTGGTTTGTTTGGACTTGTCAGCGTTGGATTCGGTGGAAGAGGAGACTCGTGACGGTGAGTAACGATGCAACAGGAAAGGCGCCATGGCTACGTGCGTGATGGTTGCTAGTTCCTTACCTGCAGGTGCTGCTGTTGGCATGTCGATGCCCTGCTCTGACAGTATGGGCGTCAAGACGGGACAGAAACGTACGTATAGACCAGGAGAACTACATACAGCGTGGGATGAGGGTGTGTTCCTCGTTGTATGTGTCAGTCAAGCCGGAGAAGGAGACCTTCTTGTAGGCAAATTTTGATAAGTCCCCGATGCACACACGACACGCACCCATCGTTGACCTTTGCCCTTGTCTGCAGCGCTTGCACTGGTCGGGAGATTGGGGGCAAGTGGGGCAAGGGCCTCACCGTACTCGACAAATGGACGGAGGTGAGGAAAGTGGAGAAGACAGCCTCACATGCAGCCATGCGTGTACTCATGCCTTTGTGTGTGCATGTCCTTGCAATGCACTGCAGGGGATCTTCGAAGTGTGCGACGACAGATTCGTCTTCTACGCATACGAGATCCAGAGTACGGAACGCCAACACATTGGTAGGCTGGGCACATGACCTACCAACCGCACTCACATGCCCGTTCCTTCTCGCAGCCAACTTCGAGTTCAAGTTCTCAAAGATCACCAACTTGCTGTACGACGAAAGCTTCAAGTAATACACAGACAACGAACAGATGGGAGGGAGGGAGGGAGGGAGGGAGGGAGGGGGGGAGCCACACACTCGTTGATGGATGGATGTTGACATGCTTGCAGAGTTCTCACTCTGGACACTAAGCCCAAAAGCATCCCAAAACTCCAGCTCAAGTTCGACACGAAGGTGAGTGCATCCCCACCACATCGCACCGCACCGTACCGCACACGCACATATGTGTCTCTCTTGGCATTTCGCTTGGTAGTCGGCCATGGAGAAGGCCTTGACGGCCATCGCCGATTGGATGGGGAGCCGCGACCAGACCCAGGAGATCCACTTCGACGCCGTCGGCGAGCTCTACAGAACACTGATGATCAGAGGAAAAATCGGTGAGCCATCAGTACTGTACCAGCACCTCACACACACACACACACAGATGCCAGCAGCCAAAGTGATGGATGGACTAATGGAAGTCTAATGGAATGGATGGGTGTCACCTCTCTGTCTTTCAGTCACGTCATCGTCGTATGGTGGCGGCTCATCGCACACAGGCAACCCAACACACTACACACATGGATGGATGGATGGATGAATGGATCGATGTGTGTGTGGCTGGTCGTCGGTATGTCAGGCCTATTCGGTGGCATCTACGCTGACACATCTCTGCTCAGTGAGAGGCGGAACCGACAACACACACACACACACACACCACAGACGAATGTGGCTTTGGTTTTGGTTGAACACAGGGATGTCACCTCTGTTAGTGTCCTCGTATGGAGACCCGACATCGCACAACAATCTGACAGGTCTCGGTACATCAACATGGCATATTCACACGCACAGGGGGACGCAGAACACCCCTGCTGTCTTGAATGACGCGTGCAGGCGAGCTCAAGAGGAGCACCAGCACGAAACGGGCCGTCTCACCTGCACTCGGCAATCCATACGAGTGCCGCAAAGGTGGGTGGGGGAGCGGGGGGCTTTCTGATAAGTAAATGAACGCACCACGTTGGCCGCATTCGTTTGTGTGTGCCGCAGGCGGTGTGTTCTGCAACTCGATGATGAGCCACTCGTGCCCGAACCTGACGCGTAGTAAGTTAAGTGGGTGGAGATGGGGGACGGCAAACACGGGACTGGCGTGTTGTGTTGTGTCAGTCTACGGCGATGGGAGGAAGCTGAGCACCAAAGACAAACTCACCGAAGTCAAGGCCGAGCCCGGTGGGTGCGACACACCACACACACATATCCACACCAAACCACATACGTGTCTCCCTCTCTCTCTCTCCCTCTGTCTACGTGTGTGTGAATGGTGCAGAGCCGAGGTGAGCGAGCCGCATGATGTCGGGCGCCATGAATGTGTCCATTTACACGCCCATGAATGAACTCGTTCAGGAACTATCATCTCCGCGGGTCGTGGCAGACGGGCTTCGATCGCATCACAGTGAGCTCTTCTCCCGCGCACCAGATGACGATCCGGCCGCCGCATCACTTGCCTGTTTGCCTGCGTGTCTGCTCAGGGCAATGTTTGCATCCATCGCGACCTCATTGAGCTCGTCCCTGACTCCATACTCAAGACCACTACCACTACCGCAAATGTAGCACATGCAGCACACACACCAAGCGCAGCAGACACACACGTATTTGTCCCCTGGTCGTCCCCCCTCTCCCCTTCTCTCTCTCCCTCCCTCCCTCCCTCTCTCTCTCTCTGTGTGTGTTTGTGCGTGTGTGTACGTCAGCTGGCTCGCAATCGTCGTGCAATGTCAAGTTCGGCCCACAGGCAGCCAACACACACCCCCACACGGCCAAACCACAGACACAGACACAGACGCACACTCACGGCTTGTATGTGTATGCATCATGGTCATGCTTGATCAGAGTTCGTTTGACATGCCCGCCCCCACCCCACTTGTGGGCGGCGGGGAGATGCTCGGCGGCGGCTCCCCATTCCAAGACGCCGGCCAATACGACGGCATCCACACGTCGTCAGCTTCAGCGTAATGACTGCAGACACAACATACGCACACATCTGGTGTTCTCCTTTCATTTGTGTCCGTGTGGGTGTCGGTGTGACTTCACGCGATGGCGACGACAGTCACGAGGAGCAGCAGCAGCAGCACGAGGACGGCATGGCCCCCTGCCCACACCGTGACAAGAGGTCATTATGACCGTAAGTGGCGTCACGTGAAGTTTAATCGTAAGCACACTCGTCAATGTCACCACTGTCGATCGGCAGAAGGGCGAGAGGGAAGTGTCCAAGGCCTTCAACGTATCTGCCAGCACTCCAGCTGGGGGCTCCAGCGCAACACAGTATGCGATGCAGTGCATCCTACACCCACCCACACAGATATCTGTCTGTATATGAGAATGGCATGCCTCTCTCTCTCTCTCTCTGTGTGTGTGTGTGTGTGTGTGCGCGTGTGCGTCAGGTCTGAGGATCCCACGGGGGGCGGTGACATCGGTGTGGGTCTCGGTGGTCTCGGTGTGGTGATGGCGGACCGCCAGCTGAGTACCGGCGGAGACCCGCAAGAGGGCGCCGTTGACTACCAGCAGAATGCGCTCCAACTGAACGTGACCCCCACCCCCCAACATACACAAATACAATACAACCACACACGCCTACTCATGTGTCTGTGTGCATTTTTTACATGTCGATGTCGATCAGGTCGACATGGCGTCGCTGTCCCCCAAGATCTGCATCACAACGCAGCAGGAGGAGGTGGGCCTCAACAGCAATGCATCCAGATACAAATGGATACAAGTGCCCGTGGACCATTCAGGCTGAGTTTGAGTGCGTGGGCGCCAGTGGCCCTGCTGACGTCAGTACAGACGAGTATCAGCAGGTGTGGGGCTACGGTAGCTACAGCAGCAGCACTGCTGAGGGTGCTGGGGGCGTGGGGGTTGAGGGTGCGGCCAAGGAGGGGGCGGGTAGCGAGCTGGTGGAGATTGAGCGTGTGAAGAAAGTCACGTACCCCAACTCAAAGCACAACAAAAAGACACACACCACGGAGCGCGCGGGTAAGCAGACATGCCACCTGGGGAACAACACTGTCAACACATCAAATCACAAGGGTGTTCTCAATGCATGTGTGTGTGTGTCTTTAGGAACTGGGTTGAAGTAGCTTTTGAGGACAAGAGGGGTGTCAGCAATACCCGTTTGATCGGCCTCAACCCAGGCGTAACTCACGGACACACACACGAGTACACACACAGAGACCCAATTCGATCATCCATCCATCAGGGTATCGGACTGGAGGATCCCGTGGGCATATTCGTGCGAGAGATTGTGATTCGTGTAAGTGACACACCCAGCCCCTCCCCCCCCTCCCCTCCCCTGCCCCCCACCCATCCATCTTGGTATCTGTGACCACCCTGTGTGGTGTGCTTGTTGATCAATCAGGCGCAGCGATTCGGGTACGACATCGATTTCGACCCTGTGGAAGCTGGTACAGCACACATACGCAGATACAGACATACAGAAAGGCAGGGCAGGCCACACCACAGCCACGCACCCACCGGCCCCTTGACGGTCTGCCTCCCATGCATCAGCAGAGGACAGCAGTGAGGAGAGCGGCGAGAACCATGACAACAGTGACGATGACGACACGCCCGGCCCCGCCACCGCCGTGCCCCCTCCCCCGTCGGCAGCACGTAAGTGACTGGGTGGGTGAGTGAGAGAGGGGGGCGTCCTGCACTCATGTCTCGCCATTGCCTTTGCTGTCGTTCCTTCCCGGCCCCACCTATGAGTGTCTGTGTGTGTCCTCTGTGTGTGTCCCTGTGTGCAGCCGGAATCACGCTGCACCAGATGCGCTTCTTCAGCGAGCTGTTGGGTGAGGGCGCGTCCAGAGCCGTCGACTGGTGGACCAGGTCCGCCACACACACACACACACACACGCAGCACTCCATTGCACAGACAGACAGACAAGCGTACGGACAGGCCATCCAAGTATCTGTTCATGTCTCCTTCTTCTCGTCTGTCTGTCTGTCTGTCTGTATGTGCAGGTCAGGCCGCTGCACGTGTCCGAGGCCGATGAGTCTGGTGTGGGCAATTGCTGCCTACATTTTACATTCGTCAGTCCGTGTCTCTCTTGAACTCGGTTCTGACCATCTGGGACACTTACTGGAATTCATCTAGTGTGGATGGATGGACATGGCAATCGGTGTGCGGCATGAAAGGTGCGTGTGGATCCAAGCACATGGACTGTTCCCTGACTGGAGATTGAAAAACTCTGCTGGTTCTGCAGCCGTCAAGTCCACCCGGCCTCTTGTGTGTGAGAAAGAGTGAGCGTCTGTTGATTGAGGTGTAATTATAATTGTTGATCTGTCGCATCGCGTCTGCCCCCCTTTGGTCCATTCCCTCTCACGCGCCCTCCGATTTTACCTCTCTTTACCTCTCCCTCTATGTGTCTGCCTGCTGGCAGCCCACCACCACTCACTGACTCACTCACTCATTCACTCACGCTGCTATCTATCGGACCTCTCAAATGGAACCCACGCATCATTTACTCCGAATTTCATCCACCAGACGCCAGCCGGTGGGGCCTGCACACACACAGACGAGGAGAGAGAGAGAGATAATCGCAGACCAGATGGCCATCGCCTGTGGTGGGCTGTGTGTGGGATGCCGATGTGCGTACCGTATATAATACAACCTGTAAGAATAGGTGGGAGAGAGTCGGGGAGAATGGTGAAGAGAGGATCTGCCGGGCGGTCAGTCCCGGATAAAGGATTAAGTCAATGCAACGTAAGGTCTGTGGATTTTGTGGAGAGTCCACGTAGGACATGTAGTATGCGTCAGTCCATTCTGTCTGACGTCCTGTCCGCCATGGCCTGTCTCATGGAACGGACAAAGACTCAACAGCCGTCCTGTCTCACAGATCAGTGGATCGTCGGTCTATGAACCCTAGACCCTAAACCCTGGACCGACTTGCACTTCTGACATCCCCAATCATAGTTCTTGATGCACTCAGCAGTAGTCTGCTCGCTCGCGGCGTCACTCTCATGATGCTCAGTGGTGTAGTATGTCAGCCCACGCAGGCCACCCTCAGCGCTCACAGCGTCAGCCTCTTGAACGTCATCCGCAGACGTCACGCCGTTGGCTTCCTGCGCGGCAGCCAAGGCAAGCATGCCCAGAGCGAGGAGCCACAAGGTCTTCATGGTCTTCACGCGAAACAAGTGGTGCGAATTGAAAGGGAAGGAAAGAAGAGCGGGTACAGCCAGAACAGAATGGAAGGAAGGTTCTTCTTGTACAGTGCTTCGTACACTTCGTTGCGGAACGGCCGTTGCGGCCGGCGAGCTTGGATCGCGCAAGCGTTAGAAAACGCGGGCCAGCTCGCAGCCAATCAAATTGAGAGAGTGGCTGGCCGCCTGCACACATGGCGTATGTCACATGGTGGTTCATGGTGGTTCATGCATGGATCGCAATCAGGACCAGCCAGAAGGGCTTCCTTTAATTGATCACACACAACGAGCCGCGCACGCATGCAACAGAGGCGCATGCCTGAAGAGCGCTGCCTGATGCTGCTGAAGCGTCCGTCGAGCGAGGATGAGGCGTTTCCGAGCCGATTGGCGAGAGCGGTTTCACGGATTGCCTAAACTTTCCCCCTGCTTTACGGATACGCCTGCCCGAAGGGCACTCCACTTGTCTGCTTCGGGTGATGAGAGTGACGCTGGCTTCATCTTGAGGATTAGTCCATCGTCGTTGCTTTCTGTTCCCGTCAAGTTATCCTCCTTCTGCTTCCCCTCTCCCCGCCTCGCCGCCCCAACTGCGAGAGCCTCTGCGAGGCTGGTGAGACCTCCCCATGGCCTCACCCATGGTCCCTGGCCGCCTCCTCGGCCACATCACACCTCCAACTGCCAGTAAAGTCACCACGAGTGAAGACAAGGGCGGTTCGGACAGCAACTCCGACAGCCAGTCGAAGAAGGGGTCTCTGGAGCTGTTCCTGGAGGCGGCGGGACGAATGAGGGAGTACATCTTCCCCCGCGGCTCCCTCTTGGTTCGACCCAACGCCGGCTTTGACCGGAAGATGCGGCCCTTCCTTTTGACGCAGAGCTGCGGGCGGTCCAAGGTGGAGTTCGCCGACATAACGAGCGAGTTCTATCGCCACCTTGACGACCTCGAGTATGCGATACCCATCTCGGTGGTGGAGAGCTGTCAGTATGAGGGGCGCACATTCCCTCTGGTGTTCTGCTACACCGTCACCAGGTAGGGAGGGAGGGAGGCGGCGTCAAGTTCGCTGATATGGTTGGTTGTCCTTGATTGTTTCAGGTTTGAAGAGGTCGGCAAGCAGCACAAGCTGGAATGGGCAATGCAATTCAACCCTGTGAGAACGAAGACACCAGCCAGCCAGCAGGCTCTCTCTCATCTGTCTGTCTGTCCGTCTGTCTGTCTGTGTTCGTTCATTCAGGGCACGCGCATGAGGGGTCACGTGTACTACATCAACAAGCTGGGCATGCACAACTTCCACCTCATCTGCATCGTCATGCCCGACCTCTACTGGCAGCTTCTCACCGCTCACAAGACCGGCAAAGAACTCATCGACAGCACAAGGGACGTCACCACAGGGAGGAAGGACATGTCCGATTACGGCATGAAAGAGCAGCTGGCCCTCGCCTATCGCCAGCAGGTGGTGGCTGACGCACTCACGAGACTCCATCGGCTTACTGACGGCTTCAATCCATCGCACTACCATCCGTCCAAGAGGTTCCCCTCGTTTCTCGTTCCCGCGCCCTCATCCAATGTCGACCTGCTCACTGTCGGGCCCATCTTCCTCTTCGCCCTGTCGGTCACGCACAACGACCTACTGGAAACCATGCGCCGTCTGGAGAGGGCGATTGAAGAGCAGATGATAGCGGCCAACAAGGGCCTCGTGTTCTACTCGCCTTTCTTCGCGCCGTACCTCTCCCAGGAGAGCGCGCGTTACGCCGTGAAGCGGTATGTGGTGGGGGTACAGCTGGAGCCCTACGATTTCGCCTGGATGATCACGTGCCATGAGGATCGCGATATCAACAGCAAGATGAAAGCAGAATTTGGTGCCGAATGGAGGCGATTCTATGCTCTGAAGGAGTGGGGCGACCAACACAGAAAGAAGGACAGACAGACGGCCGAGGTGATGTTGAGTCAGAAAGATAGGTCGGTCAGTCGGCAATGGATTTTGGTAGGTTGGCGGGCCATCCATCTCTCCATTTGTTGTTAATTGCTGTGCTGCGAATGGATTGCTGTGTCTCCAGATGCTGCTGTGCTGTGCTGTGCTGTGTTTGATTCTTGGAGTATGTTCTCGGCACCGTCGATCTGTGCATGTATGTCGCTTGTTGTCTGCCTTGACTCGCTGTGTTTTGTGTTGTCCTGTGTCGGTGTGGCCGGGCCTGTACTCGCTGCAAGGATGTATGATTGAATACACCTCTTAATCGACGAGCATTTTGATGACCATCATAACGACCACACACATGGAAAAATTGTCACGGCAAGTCGACCACACCCACACCGATGGATGAACTGATCAGGCAGCAACTCTATCTAGTGTACACTACAAACACATGGAGACACATACAGCATACACAACACACCCACCTCTGAGAGGCAGCCATCCGTCCATCCGTCGATCGCCTCTGCCTCCCTCTCTCGTGCCGGGCAGGGCGTACAAATTCTCACACACAAGATTGCATTGCACCACAGTGCACTGCAGCAATGAAGCAGCACCAAGAAAGGCGACCTGTGTCTCTCTGTTCGTCAGCCGCCTGGCAGCCACGGAAATGCACGACACACAACACACACTCACCGCCCGCTGGCCCTTCATCGACGGTGTTGTGTTAAAAGGCAGCAAGGACAAAAAACAAGCAGGCAGTCGGGCAAGCAGGCAGCGAGAGTATACTACAGCAGCGCGGAAGGCAGATACATGCATCCACGCGTTGGCTAGGCAGGTGAGGTGAGGTGAGGTGAGGTGGGGTGGGTGGGTGGGTTGAGGGGGTGAGGAAGGTGAGAGGGGCAGGGCACGAGGCGCACGTATGGCATCATCCCATGCACCACCATCCCCATCGAAACTCGCTGACACAACACAACACAACACTCTAAGAAAATAAACCACTCGTCGGCTGTTCTCGGCGCCGTGCCATCCCCCCTCCCCTACTCTACACCTACAGGAACCTAGGCATTGGGGGCATCCACATGACGGACGGCCAGCCCCTCTCTGAGCCATCTAGATGACCTCATCAATGTCACGTGTGCCCGAAATGATGACGTCGAGGTCGCGGTTGAGCTGCTCCATGAAGTCGAGCATGAGGGCGTTGAGCGTCAGGGCATCGTCCCTCAGGGTCGCCATTATCCCCGCATCGCTCTGCCCCTTCATGCTGCCCGCCGTGCTGCCCACCGGGTGCTCGTGCTGGGGGTGGACGGGGGTGCCACCTCCTGCGAGCCACCACACGATGCCGATGCCAATGCCCACCAGCACCACCCCCGTGCTCAGCCCGATGGAAAACGGGAGGACCCACTTGCAGCACGTCGGCGGCAGCAGGGCGAAGCGAGGCCACGGGATGACCCACTTGTCGCTCCCTCCCTTGTCCCTCCCGTCCTGCGTCGATTCACGCCTGCCCGATGTCTGCTGCGATGGGAGCGCGGCGATGTCGCCGCTGGCGTCGCTCTGCTTCTCAATCAGGTCGTCGTGCTCACCCGACGGCCCTGATGGCTGTCCGAATGGGCTGCTGGCGAGGGGCGGGGCGAGGGAGTCGAGCAGGCTTGCGATGCGATCGATGCTCTCCTCGGTCTCCCGGTCCATCTGCAGGATGCCCCCGATGCAGCCTTCCGGCTTGCGCAGGTTGACCCGAAGCACCTCAGCCACCTCTGCCCCCGTAATGGCGTCACAGGCAGCCGCCTCATCGCCTGCCGCGGTCTCGCGCGGGCCGTACAGCAACAGCACCACAACAGGCTTGTGCAACGCCAGCGCATCAGGAGAGACGGCTGCAGCCAGGCACACAAACCGATACACACAGTGTAAGATGAGCTCCATGTGAGCATCGTACACGTACCATCTGCTAGCCGTGGCTCAGCATCTGGTTGTGCGTCGGTGTGCCTGTCATGGAGGAGCAGGAGGACGTCTGTCGGGACGGAGGAAGGCACGCCCTCCCCGAAAGATAGCTGTATCCTCGGATGCGACTGGAAACGCGTCACCAGCACGCTCTTGAGCTGCTGCACCCACGCTCGAGCCTACACAGCAGCAAAAGGGAAAGCACGGCAGTGATGCTGATGTCCGTCCCTGGTCGTGCTCTGCAGGAGGGCTGGGGTGTTTGTGTGGCCTCTCGCGTACCAGCACATTCCTGTCACCCAAGCTAAGGAGGCCAATGCGCATCGTCGGAGCAGAGCGGGGGTGCAGCTCTGCTATAGCAGAGCTCTTGGCAGCGCGCAGATTGGAGCTTTCCAGCTCACTCTCTCGTCCGAGAGCTTTAAAGCTGACGGTGAAACAGTAAACTTTGAAGGGGCGAAAAGAGGGCAGGAAAGGGACCCCTCTCCGATTTTAGGGCTCGAGTCTTCCCCGCAATGGCCGGGGTCAGGAAGAGATATGATGATTGGTAATGGGGAGCCTGAGGATGCACATCCCCTGCGAAAACGCATGCACCTGGGCACTTCCAGCCTCGCACTCCCTCTCTATAGCTATTTTCTTTGTGTGTTTCAGGTTGTTCCATGCATTGGTCCTCTGCAGGCGGATGACGACCTTGTTCTCTCGCCGCCACTATCAACGCCTTTAACTTTGATTGATCATGCCTCTGCAGACTACGCTGCGACCTGTAGGCGACAGTCTGAGGAAAGGAAAGCCCTACAGGCACTCACCCCAGACCACAACCACGTCTGACACCGAGCCCCTTCGTGAAAATGCCGCTACGTCGCGTCGGTTGTTCATCGATTTGCCGAGAAGGCAGTCAGTCGATTGCAACGGTGACCTGGACAGCATCAAGGACGGCAAAGGGCTGTTGCCCACACCGAGGGAGGGCCGCATCAAACGAGACGACGACACGCAGTCGGTGTCCGCTGCCATGATGTTCCGCCCTCGGTGTCCACCTCGATACGCAGACCATCCCGTGACCTTCTACGATGACTTCATCCACTCATCCGGACACCGCCGCTTTCACTTCTCCGCTGCTCACCAACCGCGAGGCGGCAGCTATTATCCCCCTCCGATCCGCCAACGTGGTTTCCACTGCGGGAGAGGGCTGGATGGCTTCCGGCCCCCCCACTTTCGTCGGTTCAGATCGCCGTCCCCTACCAGGGATGGCGGTCGCGGGGGGAACAGGCCTGAGGCAAGATGGCAGGGGGCCACACATCGATCGTACACCCCTGCTGGAGGTCGTGGCTTTTCACCGCTGGCAACTCGATGGCGTTTTCCAGGGAGACACAGTGCTGTGCCAAGGAAGGTGTTCAAGTATGTTCCTCGGGAGAAGAAGGAGGCCTGCGCGCAGACAGACGCTGAGATTCTTGAGGCGCCCCTCGGTCCTTTAGGGTCATTTGAGGTTGAGATTGACCTGTCCACCGTTGGCGAGATCCCTCCGCCACCAGCTTTCGCACCACCGACGTACCCACCGGTGGACGATGGTGCGGATGATGATAAAGAAGACGATCACGATGAGATTGATGCCGAGGCAGCGAGACATGTGGAAGCTGTTGAGCGGCTGTTGGATATACCAGATTCTTGGGCATCATCTGTTGGAACGCCGCCCGCTACGGAAGCGGGACGGACGTCGAATCATGGTGAAGATGAAAATAATGGGATGCCTCTGTCTTGTCCAGAAGTCTCCGAGTCTGTTGCCAAGCTGCTGGAGGATCCAGTACATCTGTTTCTTCAACCACAACTGAAGGAGGACAGAGTTAAGGATGCTGCACTTTCATCGGCAGCTGCCAAAGAGGCTGCCACCGTTGAAGAAGAGACAAATGGGCTGCCTGGTCTTGCTGCTGCCGAGAAGTCTGTTGGTGCTCGTTCAACGAGCGATTGTCCCTGTTCTATTGAGCCCATTGTGCCTTGCCCAGATCCTGCTGGAGATGACTTTGATGGTGAATGGACAGAGTCGCCGCCTGCTGAAGACCATGACTTCGCATGGGACCCGTTCCGCGGATTCGCATTGTACGCAGACACTGCTATGCTCTGCTCCGGCACTCCAATAGACATACGTCAATCCTGTCTCTCTCTTTCAGTGGATGTCCTGTCGATGAGGCCGATGCAGAGTCAGGCCCTGCCCTCGATCATCGCCCTCGCTATCGAGGCGGGTCGCCGACCACTGCGGAGAACAACGACAAGCGTGATTGTTTGGGGGGAAAATTGCACAGGTTTCTTGGTCCAGCCGCCGACCCTCATACAGCGGACAAGACATTGGCAGAGAGTCAATTCAACGGACACTCACAGAAGAGCCACATAGACAAGTAAACGCAGCAAAAGAGGGAGACACGTGCCCCGTGCATACCTCCTGCCTGTTGTATCGGTGAATCAGGCATTTGTTGGATGTGACGGGCATGTCGGTGGATGCCGTGGTCGCCATGGCCTTGGACCACGCAGCACACGGGAGATATGACGAGGCCTGCCGCTTGTTGCACAAAATACCAGTTGTATGCACACCTGCGGACTTCGTTTTCTCAGACAGTCACTGTGAATCATTTGCAGGACACGTTGAGCTTGTCCAGCGATAAGGCTTCTCTGCTCCTCGAGGCGGCCGCCGGCTGCGGCGATGTGTGCCTGGCCGAGACGTTCTTCCAGGGGTGAACATGGATGGCAGGCACGAAAATGCATACCGTATGTCTCCCGTCGTATTTGATGTGCAGCGTGGGTGGGAGTGGCATGTTGAAAGCCTACGCGGATTTGCTGCGGACTTACAGCAAGGCGGGCGACAAGATTCCCCTGTTCAACGTCCTGCCCGACGTAGTGGATTACATACAGAGACAAAAACTACTGGTATGTACGCTTAACGCCGACACAAGTAGTTACTCTCGTTCATCGGTGTGCTCGCTTCCTTGTCTCTTACCGTGTTCAGTCGGCGGACGCGGCCTTGACATCCGTCCTTCACCAGTCTCTAGTTTGTGGAGATCACGAGCTCGCAGAGCTGCTGTTTGACTACTTCCAGGAGGAAGGCGCACAGGGAGGCGATATAAGCGGCCGTGTCAAGTTGTACGCAACAATGGTCAAGGGCTACAGCAGTGCTTGTCTCAAGATGCGTCATGAAATGTCACGGGATTCACTCACGACTACCGATCTGGCCATGGCGTGTTTGCGAAAGGCCGACGACTGCCTGGACTTCTGTGCGCGACACGGGGAAGAGGGATTTGCTACCTTTCAGCCGACGTGCATCGTCTTGTTTGGTCGGGCTGCTGCTGCCTGGGGTCAGCTGGCGTTGGTGTGGAAGTGGCTGCTGCCGACTGCAGGACAGCCTGCGCGAGTGAGGAAGCAAAGGAGAGCAGGCGACGTTCTGCGATGTATTTACTGGCCGTGTGGCCACACAGATTCCCGCAACTTTGTGGCTGCTTCTCCTGGACCACATGACGCCTGAGTCGACTCCCCAAGACATACACAACATGCTCAAACTTGTCAATAACGTATGTACAAAGCACAAAGAGACTGTCTACTTTTTGTCTGCCATGCATCCATCCGTCCAGCAGATTGCTGTCGAGACTCTGCGGCCTGTGTCCGTGTTCAATGCCGTCATTGACTTTTTCCTCCACATGAACGAGGAGGCTGCTCTCGAGAAGTTCTTGAACGAGTATGAATCATCGCTGTCCACATGGGAAGTCACCGACTACGGCCATCTTATCCGTGGCTTCGGGCGCCTGTCGGCATGGCCGCCCGGCAGAAGAGCTGACAAGGTCGGGCGCTGGCTCTCAAGGCAGGGCAGGGCATGGAAAAGGTGTCTGTGACTTTGCCATCAGGCTATGTCTCTGTGGGCATCTTATTTCCGATCTCTCGGTCCATTTCCGTTTGCTGCGTTGAAGGGAGGGTGCAGTGCCGATGGCCGGTTGCCCATCGTGGCCTACCCTTTGTGCTGTCTCATGGACGCACTCTGTCTGGGCGGACGACCTCTCCAAGCGTTCCGCCTCTTCCAGAGGTGAGTGAGCCAAGGACAAGAACGATCCTCCCAGCCGGGTCAATGCGTTTCTGTCCGATGCAGCTTGGATTGTCCGCCGGTCGGTCCGCTGCCCGCCATATTGATCCGTGGCTTTGCTGACGTGGGTGACGGCTCGACAGCTCTCACTGTGTACCGCATGGCCATCAACAAGGGCATCAGGCCCAACCAGGTCCTTGCTCCCAAACCCACCGAAACACACAACAGCCATCAATATTGCTGCTGGCTTGTCATCTGTGTAGGCGTCGGTGAACGCGATGGTGTACTTGTACGTACGCTCTCGCGACATGGGCCACGCAATGGCGATATTCAGGGACATGAATCGATCCCGTCTGTGCCCGCCCAACCTCAGCACCATCACTCTCGTTGTCAAAGGCCTGGCAGAATCGGTCAGTCAGGGAGACACGCCGGACGACAGATAGGTGCACCAGCTTTGATTGTGCTTTGTATGCATCAGGACCAGGCGGGACGGGTGGACGATGTGGTGAGGGCGGCCAAGGATCTCCATCTGCCCATCACACCATACATCGCTTCACAAATCGCAAGTATCTTCCCGACCCCACAAACACAAGTCCTGGCTCATTCTTGCTGCTTCGTTCAGATGCCCAGAAGAAGATGACGTGCAGCATGGCTCCAGATGCATACCTCTCTCCGCCGTCCGATCATTTCTTCTCTCCACCCACCTCGCCACAAATGGTCCAGCATCCGCACCCCTCATTCGCCATGCCGCCATCGCCCTGCTCGTTGTTGCTGCCAGTCGACACACACAGTCCTTCAGTTGTGCCGCCATCGCCAAACAGAGCACCCCCTGTGCGGACGAACGGAATGCGGCAGAGGACGGCAGGGGATGGCTCGCCCGACGGATTCGGAATGCTCTGTGCACTGAATGGCCGGGGCGGGCAGCACCACACGCCGTCAATGGCGTGGTGCAGTCCACCACAGTCGAGCTCGCCGCCTCCTTTCGATGAATACTGACACATGTGATGGGATTGAATGTCACGAATCAGGTTTTTTGGCAGTGAGAGGACAGTTTCTGTGTGCTCATGTTTCTATATGGGTCTGCCATTCACTGTTTCCTCCCGCTCTGATTTTCTTGTGGTTGGCTTGACAGTCGAGTTTCGTTTCTGGCCAGGAAGTGCACACACACGTGCCGAAATCCTTCATACACTGATACATTCTGAGATTGATGGTTTCTCGTTGAATCAGTCAGTCAGACTGCACCTGCTAGCTGCACGGCTCGAATGAGTGGACTGTGTATGAATGTGTATGGTTGTCGATCGATACCCTAGACAGAATCAACGGACATCGATACATATCGGACGTCAATCAAACCCCTGCAGCTATCGACATTGCCTGAGAACATGCCGCTCAGCGACACTCGTGTGATGATCTGTGTGCTTGTGGCTCTGGTGTGCTGTGTGACCGCTCAGCCCAAGAGAGACACGACGGCCAGACCCTCACCCACAGGTGACAACCACTATCATAACCAACATTAATCAATCAATCTATCAATCACTCTCCCTTTGTTCAATCACTGGCAGGTGGCACCACAAGCGGCAGACATGTTGTGCTTGAGCGTCGTTTTGTGCGTCGACTGCCCCCTTTGCTCGTCATCGCCGAGCGCCGACGCCGGGCCGCAAGGATCCGACTGGCCAAGGAAGCAGCTGCCAAAGCACAGGCATTCCAAATAGCCGAGACGGCCAAGGTGGGCACTGAAAAACACATCAGCAGATGGATGACTCATAGATGCATGTCTCTTGACAGTTATTGGCTGAAGCATCCCGGATCGCAACGATAGCACCGACGCCTGCAGTGACAATGCCGGCTGTCACGCCCACGCCCATTCCCTTCCTGCGTGCGCCTGCGCCGCTCACAGCCGCACCAGCTCCACTGGCCGAGAGAGTGCAAGTGCCGAGGGAGGTCTCTGGAGCAGTCGAGCGACCGGCGCCCAAAGGAGGACCGAAGAGGGCGATCTTCCCGACCGAGGAGATACGAAGGGCGCAGCCGAAGGAGGCCCTCCTCACCGACGCACGGCCTGTAAGTCTCGGGCTGCTGTGTCTGCGTGTGTGCGTGTGTCTTACTGCGATCATGTATGTCAGGTTGCCATGATGATGCCCGGCAGCGCCATCCCGATCCACGCGGGCGCCAAAGAGGCACAGTTGGAGTACAAGTCATCACCGTTCCAAGAAACGGCACTCGGGTGGGACAGAGACACGGCAAACACAAGAGAGAGCCGATACAATAAACACGTCACACATGATATTGTATGTCATTCCTCTCTTGTCCTTCGTTCAGTTCTGTTCTGCCCCTCACAAGTGGGCATCACAAAGTTCAATGACACAAACACAACTACGCATGTCTCCGTCTTGTTGCGTGTGGATGCAGCCTTGGTCGCTCGGCCGTCGCATGAGCTACCTGCCACCGTCATCTACGTCCCAGGCATGCCGTCCGCACTCACTGATGGCCTGCAACTCCCCAAGGTAGCTCACGACCATCGACGCAGAACGACAACGCAAAGGACCGTTACTAATTCATGCACACAGATTGATGGCGTCGCCAGAGGCGCTGCCCGGCTGGCCTGGCTTTCCACACATCAGAGCCCCTGCCACGCCCACACGCACACAGCCACCACCGGCACGCGAGCAGCCGCCGACAGCTGCTCCATCACATCACGCTGCCGAGCTGCTGACCGCCAAGCCGCTGCCCACCAGTATGCGATTCATGTCTGTCGGGCAGGCCCCGCCGGCAGCACCAGAGGGCTTTGGGAAAGCGATGCAGACGATCACCGGCTTCCTCTCCAAGATCCTCGGCCTCATCCCGCCCATCCCAATTCCAAAGGTGCCTGTGCCTGGACTGCCGGGCCTGCAGCTGACAGGACCCAGCGCAAACGAGCTCGCCACACTCGCACAAGACGTACACTTGCACACACAGAGAGAGTCGAGCACACGGACCGACTTTATGTCTCCCTGCGTGTGTGTGTGTGTGTGTGTGTGTGTGTTGTCATGTTCATTAATCAGGGTGTGTCGTATGCCCGTTCGCAGCGCACAGAGGAGTTTGTCAAGGAGGAGGCCGACTCACGCGCACAGCAACTCGCCGCCCAGCTCCTCAACAAATATTGGTTCATCGGACAGTGCAGACGAGGTCGGCCGGACTCTCTGTCAGCCACATCTCACCACTCATGCTACACTGACTGTCTGTGTTTCTGTCTGTCTGCCTTGCCTTGCAGATTATTCGCCCACTTGCCCTCTGCAGTGGACGGATGAGGGCGGCGTGTGTTCTCCGCCGGACGGCTACGACGGCTTCTGCCGCGCCACCAACCTCACCGCAGCCACACCAATCGAAAAGGAGACATTCGCATGGAAATGGTAGCCACAAGCACGTACACACACATATCGAGACGAGAGCAGCGCATCGTCTGTGTCTGTATATGTGCAGTCGAGCAGAGTGGTCGTGCGTGTCGTCTCCCCGCCGCGATTGGACGGCCACGTGTCCACACACATGGACCAACGTGGGAGGGAATCTGTGCATCGCCCCGTCAAATTACAGAGGCATCTGCCCGCCGGCAATGGGTCAGTCAGTCAGCCAGCCAACTGATCTACAGGCACAACACAGCTTGTGATCTGTCGCAGATTTCTCATCGTTTGACCCTGAGACCAAAGCCATCTTCGCTGCCAAATGTCACCTCGAGGTCAATATTCACACCCACAGATGAGCTGTCTGTCTTCATGTGCCGTGCATATCTGTGTGTGCCAGTGGCCGACAGAGGCTGAGACGGCGAGACGACCGACAGCCCCTGCAGTGACCGCACTGCCCAAACTTGCTCCAACCAAGTCAGTGAGACAAGCGGAGGGAAATGTCTGTGCATTGATGTATGTGGTTGTCTTTGAATGTCTGCAGGCCCGTGTTGTCCGGTGTGAGCGGGCCGGTCGACGCGCAGACCGGCAGAGTCATCACACATGCATGATCTACCGCACAACCAAACAGCAAATCATGGGCACATCGAGAACTGAATGGTGCATGCCGTGAGACGGACGCAAGGCAACGCACCGAACTATGATGCAGTGAAAGTTAGGCTGAAAGGTCGACCGTTGCGGATTGGGTTCGGGTTTAAGGGCTACATTGTCGATGCATCTCATTGTCGAGTCGCACTGCGGCCGCAGGTCGCACAAACACTCTGCAAGATGAGGCGGAGAGCCACAAAACTCGCCTTTGTGTGTGTGTGTTTGTGTGTGTGTGTGTGTGTTTGTGTGTGTTTGTGTGTGTTTGTGTGTGTTTGTGTGTGTTTGTGTGTGTTTGTGTGTGTGTGTGTGTGTTGATTGCGCAGACCTATAGCGGCTGGTCGGCTCTTCGCTTGTGGATGTGCTGTTTGGTCTTGTGTAATTAGTCGACGGCCCTTTCAAGCTGCTGTCTTAAGACAGTAGCGTCGTCATTTATTGGCTTGCTCGTTTTTGACTACCTATTTTTGACACAGACAGACTCCAGTGCTTGTTCTTACACATCAGCTCTGGCTAACACGAAAGTAAACGTCCTCTCGTCGCAGTGCCACGTTCTGCTTTCCCTGGTCTCCCTGATCCCTCCTTTCTTCATCTGCCTTCATTGATGCGCAATCCAGATTTGTTCTGCGAATTACAGCGTCTGCCCATACGAAGGGAAGAAAGGGCAGCCGAAGAAGTGGCGTCACGGCCACGCGTGTCGTGTGCCATTCGTTTGCATGACAGCTGATTGAGACATATCTTGTACTCCTCTTCGTTGCTGTCCGTGCTGTTATGTCTCGAGTGTCTCTTGTGTGCAAATCTATGCAGGGGGATTGATCAGCAAGGCACCTGTGTTATCCCCCTGCATAGAGATGATTGAAACACTCAACAACGCAACGCATGAGACGATGCTCATAAGGCTGATAAGACGACAATGATTTCGAAAGACGAATCATCATGCTCAGCGACGGAAACCGCTTTAAACGTTAAGTCGCCCATTACACATTCCGCTCTCCCTCTTGCCTCCTGTCTCCATCCGCCTCCATCGAGACGCGCACCGTAACCTCTTTCCTCTTCATAATCGTGGACTTGGGCCGGTCTTTTGACCTGCAATCCAAGTCTCCTTGTACGTCCAGATATGCATCTACGGATGATGCACACGCACCTTAGAAAGAGGTCTAGCTCTTTGCCAACCAACACTCCCTCCTTCTTCCTTGTGTCCGTCGTTGCCAGAGCGTGACGCAGGACGGCTGCCGTTTCAGAGGGCTTCGGCGACGGCGGCATGGCTGTTGCTGACACGAGACAGCCACATTCCCTGCCGACACCCGTGTATGCGTCTCTGCCAACCTTCCCGCGTCTCTTGTTCCTCATCCTTCCATTCCCTCGCCCGTTCGATGACGCTCCTCGACGTCAGCTGCTCCCCTCGAGTCCCATCGACCCACTTGAGGGATCTCATCTTGCGCTTTGGCGCGGCTGACAGGACAACAGCAAACATCACGTGTGCATGTATGTACGGGCGTGTGCATGAAGCAAATACATACCCGCCTGTCTCCTTCTTATCGCGGGAGTCTTGATCCTCATGGCAGATTTGAGCGAGAGCGACCCCTTCTCCGAGGGTGCTGCTGCGGCTGTCTCCGTGTAGGCAGTCGGGGTCTGATGACCGACCATTAGATCGTTGCAGGCGGAAGACACAGACCCAGGTCCATCCATTCATCAGTTCATCGTATGGTGCATCGGCTTGGCACGGTGGGCCCCGGACCTTTGATCGGGCTGACGGCATCGCTGACGGAGCAAGAGAGGCCTCGCTCGGGGATGGCAGCGAAGTGGCCTCAAGGGGGGGCTCGACATCAGCTCTAACAAAGTAAGCATCCAACCCATCCGTGTTGTCAATGTACATGTCTCTCGACGAATGTGCTGCCATTTCGCATCACCGTCGCTTGGCCGTTTCCTTGTAGACCACCCTCTCCTCTCTCCAGTCGAAGACCTCAGGCAGATACGCCTCGCTCGTCACCTCGTTGGCCAACTCATGAGCTCTGGCGACGTACAAATATTGACATATACATACGCATTTCCGCCACTCTGAGTCAGTCAGTACCTAGGAGTGTTGACTCGCATGATGGAATGGACGACACTCATGTCCTGGGATGATGGGACAGCCGCCTCCCTGCCCTCGATCAGCGCCTCCTTATCAAGCTGAAGCGCCTCAGTCGGACGCGGATAACGCACCAGCCTCGGGCGAAAGTGCATTTCGAATCTGACGGATCCCCTCGGTGTTCCCTTGAGGTGCTTGTCCAGCCTGATGGCGCGCTGGCTCTCCACACACTGCTTCAGCACGTCCAGGCGCACGACGGCAAAGCCGATGGGCAGGTGTGTGTAGGGCACGGGAGGCGGCGGGACGCCGCGGGCCATGGTAGAGGACAGCCGGTTGTTGTAATCCTTCCACCTGAGTGAGAGACGGAAGGAATGGCTGTCAGACCCATCGGTCTGACGTGTCTCTTGGGCACCGACCTCTCGAGTCGCCTGAACTCTTTCGGGTCGATTTTCGTCCGCACCTTGCTCAAGTCCTGCCGAGCAAGACATCCCATTTGTTGCCATCCCTCCGTATGTGTCTGCGTCTGGCGGTGTTGAGATTCCTGCTCACCCACTCCCTGGGGTCTTTTGCCTCTTCAGCCTCCTCCGCAGTCTCCTTGGCCTTCTGGTCCTCCTCCTTCTGGCGCAGCGCACTGAGCCAGGCAGGCAGGCAGGCACACAGGCAGAGACACACTTCATCGTATTGTGGACACGTTCATGTGCTGACCGCATGGCGAGCTCCCCCAAGCTCCATATCGATGCTCGCTTGTCGTCAGCATCGCCCTCGCCTTCGCCTCCCTCCTGGTCCTCATCATATCCCTGCCAGCCAAATGGCATGTACACAAGATAGACATTCACGGCTGCTTGCTGCCTACCTCGCTGCGAAAGCTGTCTCGCGTCTGGATGCCGGCCTTGGATTTTGCGTCTCTGCCCTTCTTTTGGGTGGCCGCGTCTCCCCGAGCGATCACCTCGACTGCCGGGCCGCGGGGCAGCAACGCTGACTGTAAGGATGGACTGCGTGTTGCCGTGCATGGAAGCTTTGTGTGTCTGCGTGGGCACCTGTGGAATCTCCACGCGGACTCGTTGCCTGGCCTTGGTTCCCTCGAATGTTTCTGTCCTCCTGACCGACGCGCCGCTCCACTCGCCCGCCAGGTTGACGGCGTTCTTCTTGCCGTCAACCTGGCGCTGGAAGGGGTTGACGAGATCGTCGTCCGCCTGCATGAGACTCTCCGCCTTGGACGTTGCACGGGAGGACTGGTCCGACTTGCGCGCGAGATCCGTCCTGGAGGTGATTGGCTTGGCGTAAGCAGCATCCGCGTGCTTTCCCTGATGACATGCAATGTCGTTGGTGTTGTCAAGGAAGAATTTGTGTGGGTGCTTGTACCTCTGGTTCAGCGGGGAAGGGTGCCGAGAGGAGCTGTATGGCCAGACAGGCGTCCTCGTCCAGATCGGTGAAGGCGAACCGCATCGTGTGGAAGTACACCTGCGCGGACGGAAACACATAGTCAGTGTGTGTGTGTGCACCTTCATGGCCGGTGTTGATGTTACTGAGCGGACAAGAATCCGCATGTGTAGCTGTGTACCGGTGTTGATGTGCTGGGGCATGCGGGCGAGAAGAAGCCGACATTGGGGGCATTGTGCTGGTTGGAAAAGGATGTGAAGGCGTATGGATGAAGCTGACACACAATCACACGTGGATGGGTGCGCACACATGGTTGCCATCGGATCACTCACTTTGCCGATGCCCTCGAGATAGAGATTCTGCGCCGACAACAGACTGACGTACAGCACGCCCTGCATGGTGGACAGAAGCATACGGGATGACGAAAATGTGTGCATGTCTCTTTCCCTGCCTGCCTCCCTTCTGCCCGCTGAGCAGCTCACTGACCTCTGTCTTGACGATTCTACCTGTCCGTCTCTTCCGTTTGTCGATGTCCTTCCACAGCCGGAACGCCTCGGGCAGAGCCTCTCCCTCATCCTCAAGGGGCTCCTCCTCCTCCTATCCGCACACACAAAAAAAGGCACACATGCTCGTGGCTGAGTGTCTCGTCTCATGGGGCGGCTCACCTCTTCTTCGGGTCTTTCTTGGTCCTTTGCGGCGACCAAGCGCTCGGGGCGGACGCGCATGGCATCGACCAGCTCCTGTGCGTCGTGTTGGCACGGAGATGCAGGCAGGCAAGCAGAGGGGCAGCCAGCCAAGTTTGTAGGTACCTGGACGATGGCGGTGTGTCCGTTCCTCCTGGTGATGGTGTAAGCCGTGTCGTCGTTCATGTTGCGCCTGTACGGATCAGCACCTGCACCACACAGATGGAGATGTGCATGAGATCTTTCTTCTCTCTACGTATTGATGCACCGTGGTCGATGAGCACGCTGGACGCCTCCTCGTGGCCGGATGCCGATGCCAGCATCAGCGGGGTCCATCCTGCATTCTCCTGTGTGTCAACTCCTGCTCCCACCTGACGGACCCGTCACATCATGCATATGCACAAGACTGCATATGCCAGTTTCCTCACCTCGATTAGTGACGCGACGACACGTGCCTCCCCCTCGTGTGCCGCCCAGTGCAATGCAGTCCACCCGTCGCGGTCCTTGGCTGTTCATATTCAGAGAGACATACAGGCGATGCATACCCTTCCCTCCGTTGGGTTGATTTGTTGACCAGAGACGCTGGCGGCCTCCAGTACGAGTGCTGGTATGATCTGCCAGTGGCCTTCACGGCACGCCAGCATCAGAGCGGTGAAGCCGTGGTTGTCCACAGCATTCACCTGCATACGAGACACACAGTCGAGCATGAATTTGCCCTTTAATTCGTCCGTCCATGCCTTCCTGGTTGTAGGCGTATACTCACGCTCTGTGGCGGTATGTCGAACGCGGCCATGTCTGCCGGCGATCTGTCGGCTTGTCTGGTCTTGAGGAGCAGGTGGACCAGGTCGATGTGGCCCGACATACATGCCTTCATCAGCAGCGTCCGGCCGGATGCGTCTGTCTGGACACACATTCACACACATCGATGCGCGAGTGCGTGTGAAGGTGCATTTCTGTGTGTTGTTGTGTACAATGGTTGTGTCAGCGGGCACGATGGCCAACTCCGGGTCGAGAAGTGCGAGCATCGCCGCCTGTGCACACAGTGACACGTGTGTGAGTGCCCGTACGTATTCGTACGCGGACGTACAATGTGTCCGTTGTGTGCTGCCAAGTGTATCGGGGTCTCGCCGAATTTATTCGGCTCGTCAATGCTGCGGATACATATACGATGTGCATGTGTGTGTCTCGGTTTCTCACTCACTCGGGTGTGGAGTCGATCATGATGTGTACCACCGACAAATTGCCCTCTTCGCACGACAGGTGAAGAGCTGTGTAGCCAAGATGGTCCTGATGGAACAACGGAGCGCGCACAATGTACCAAGGTCACGCACCTTGGCGTGCGTGTACATTCTGTGGGTACTTACTTTTGCGAAGACATCGGCCTCCAAGTCGATGAGTTTCTTGACGCTTGCCACGTCTCCCTTGGCACACGCGTGGTGCAGCGGCGTGCGCTGCAGCGGATCCTGATGGCAGACAGACACAGATACGTGCGTATGCGCATGCGGACAAAAGCCATTGAGTCTACCCTGAAGTTGATCATGTCCGCCTTTTCCACCTCAGCCATGCGCTCCACGATCGGAAGAATGTAATCGCCCTGCACAGACACGAGGGAAGCAGAGAGACATTGGGACAAAGTGGATGTCTCGATGCGTTTGTGCGCACCACGTTGTTCTCGATAGCGTAGATGAGCAGGTTCCAGCCACGCGGGTCCACCTGTGTACACACATCCCATGCAATGACGAATGAGACTGTCTCTTTCTCTCTCACCTGGCATATGTTGGCCGCGTGCTTGACGCACAAGGAAAACAGACTGTGTGTGCCATACATACACATTAGCAGATTAGCATGGCGTGAATGTGTGTGACGATATGTACTTGCTGGTGTGCGGGAGCTTGTCAAGACACAGGTAGAGTGGGCTCTTGCCGTTGGCGTCCGACAACTCCACTCGGGCACGGAAGGACAGCAGCAGCTCAGCCACAAAGTGGTGGTTGCACTGGATGGCCAGGTGCAAAGGCGTCTGTAACACGCACACACACCGTTCCAGGCATGTCTGCATTCATATGTGGATGTTTGTCTCGTGCCAGTTTGCCTGCAGGAGGCTGTCAGTGATGTTCGCGTCGACACCCGCCTTGAGAAGCAGCTCACACGTGTCCAGGTGGTTGAAACGCACAGCCAGGTGAAGCGCAGACTCGCCTGCACACACATCTATTCACTCACGGGTCTACCCGTATGTTTCTGCATCAATGAAAGGACCTTTGTTGGTAGTTGCGAGTGGGTCAGCCCCTTCGTAAATGAGGCGAGACACGGTCTCCTCGTGGCCGTACGTGGCTGTGAATGCACATTCGTATGCATCCATATGTGTGTATACACACCTTTCCATACCCACCTGCGTACATGAGGGCAGTTCTCCCGTATTTGTCCTTTTGCTCCAGGTTGATAGCGATGGCAGGTCGCTTCGACGGCCGCATGAAGAAGCGCTGCAAACATGTCAGGCCATGCCATGCCGCGTGCATTCATTCACGGCCGGATGTGGAAGTTGGCTGGTCTGCACCTTCGAAACGCTGGCGATTGCCTCCGAGACACGGACAGTGATGGACCCGCGGCGAGTTTCAGCCTGCGTGAAGGTCCATGCAGTTTCTTCCTCACTGCTGTGGCGTGGTGCCGTTTGTACCCGTGAGTCTGTCATCCCCCTACAGGACTCGAAGAAGGCGTCCAGCATCACAATCGACCAGCTGCCTGATCGGTTTAATCACATCAATGCACCTGTCTTCCACCCTTCATCCATCGATGCGTGAATGTGATGACATGTTTACCCTTGTTGAGTCTCCACGCGTGTGCTGCCTCCATCCACTTGGCCTCACCCTCCTGTCCATAACGCTCCCTGACACACACAAGCCCACCATCCATACATAAAGGACATGTTACACTCATGTCCCCAGGCCACATACCTGATATGCAGCGGGGCCTTCTTGAACTGTCCCTTGAGTTGCAGCTGACGCTTAGACATGCGCACCGACGACGGAGACGTGATGCTTCCCACCCCTAAAGACATCCATCCGTTCGTGGACGTACACCTTTGTCTTTGATTCCTAGTCAGAACAAACTCACTCGACTGCACAGTGCCGGCCTCGCTTGGCGTTTTCACAGTCGACAGGCGGAAAAAGACGCCTGCACACCCGCAACTAAAGGAGGTGCCTCCTGTTTATTTTGGCGGACCGACCTCACCTCCCCGTGTGGGCGACTTGAGCGATTGGGGAGACATCGGAGGCGAGACTGGTGACACAGAGTGACAGCCACGCACGCATACGTCAGTTTCCAATTTTTGTCACTAACTGATGCCACTCTTCATCTTCATGATTAAGCTCATGGCGCGATCCATGAGGGACTTCGCTGTCCAGAGCTTCTCGGACGGAGGCTTCAGGGAGAAACGGCCTGCACACAGACACACGTAGGTGCTTTTCTCTCTCTCTCTCTGTGTGTGTGTGTGTGTGTGTGGTATGTAGTCCGTCGGCCTGTCTTTCTTTCTTTCTTTCTTTCTGTGCGTACGTGATGGCGAGCGGGAAGGCGACTGTGAGGGCTGCTGGCTTGACGGACGGCTGACCTGTTGTGTAGATAGGCACATACATACATACATACATACATACAGTGTTGTCATCGGTGCACGTGTCTCCCTCACGCCTCGTTGCTGAGACACGAACTGCTGCATCTCTTGGAGAAGTTGTTGCTGCTCGTGGAATTGTTGCTGCCATGCACACACACAAATGGACAGGTGGGTATACGCACAATACACGGACACTTGCACACAAGCACATGCCTGGAGTATTCTACGGCGTTCCCTTCGGTGCCTCTGTTCCACCAGAAAGGTGTTATATATGCGCGGCCTGCATAGACACACATGACACAAGGGATGGCACACATGAAAGGATCGGTACACGTGTCAGCGATACGTGCATGCATCCTGTGCGTGTCAGTACGATGCAGCAATGAGCATCAATGGGGTGATTTTCTCCTCTGGGTGGCATGCATTGGGGTCGCTGCCCTCACTCAGCAGATACCTCAATATGTACAGGTAACCCTGTACATATAAACTTCTGTATACGTATGTGTGTATGCCTATTCTGGCACCTGGAATGCGGCACACGCGAGAGGCGTCCACCCGTGATCTGTTCTTTGGTTGACTATGGCCCCGGCAGACAGCAATATGCGGACGCCCGGCAGCTGTCCATTCATCGTCGCCAAATACAAAGGTGTCATGCCATCAACGTCCCTGCCGCGTGAGACACAGATGGAAATACCGTCTTCCCTCCCTCCATTCAACGCGCATGCGCTGCATGCCTTTCGTTGATGTCTCTCCCCGAGTACTTGATGGTGTACCTGCAGAAAAGAAAGGAAGACACCTCAGTACGGATCGTCCGGTGCCTTCCACATCGCCTCCACATACCACAGTCTCCACCGATTTATGGGCTTCCGGTTCGCATGATATGCGGCCACATGTATTGGCTCCCCGCGGGAGCGACCTGCATGCATGTCGGACAATCACACACATATGTGTGTAGAGCCCTCCTCATTCACCCGGTATCCACGAGCGGTGGAGTGTGTGGCTGATGTCAGGTGTCACACTGATGCGCATAAACTCCAGCGTCCTTTGTGCATGGAAAAGCAACACACCAGGCCATTCAGCGGTGTCTGGTGCGTGTCTGTCATTCTCTGACTCGCTTGTCTCACTTGGTGGCTTCGTCTGGCCGTGCGCTGGTAATGAATGACCTTTTTGACTCCCTCCGGTCCTGACGGACCTGCACATATCATAACGTAAGGCAGACAGGTGTGGTGGTACGTTTGGTCGTGTCATTGGATGACATATTGAGCCCGCACCCACCTCGTCCAGGATGGCAAGGATGATGCCCATGCTTGTCGCCTCACTGAGCCATGGGTTAAGCGAGGAACGGGGAAAGGAACGAAGAGATCACCCCAATTCATGGGGGCGCCCCCGTCTGCATGCAGATTTTCAACGGCGTTCGACGGGATCAGTGTCCTACACGCAGGCAATGGACGGGTATTCGTGGTGGGCAGTCTGTCAACATTCAGTGTGTGATGGATTGTTCATCGGAGGGGAGGACATTGTTGCTTCCTTCTGATGGTTTCAGTGCTCTCATCCCCATGTGTCTGTGCGTCCCGCCCCGGCAATGCAATGGCCCACTGTGTCACACGTCGCATCTCCCTCACACACATCATCCATCCATCCAATGCATCAGGCACGTGGCACTGTGTGTGTCTGCCGATCTGCGCAGGTACCTCAGCACCTCCCTGTTTCGGAGGACCGCTGACTGACCAGCCAGTCAACACACACACACACACACGGCACCCAACGGTGTGGACGGCCATCTGTCCAGCCAAAAATCACAGTTGCACAAATAAAGTGGATGAGTCAGCCACAGTAAAGTGACACAATGCACAGACAACCAAGGCAGCACACGTAGCGCAAGTAAGCCACAGTACGCCCACACGACTTGCCCGCCCATATCGACCCCATGTATGGGGCAGACTCAGTGCTTGCCAGTCGAGATGATTGCAAAAATCACACAACCATCGCATCCCGCATGCACACATTGATGGACCACATACACCCCACCCATCACACACCATGGATGGATGGATGGATCTACCGACTACTTAGCGAAGGGCGCGCTGAGCCTTGAGGGCCGCGATCTCGGCTTCCAGCGCTTCGATGGCCTTGGCCTGGTTGTCGCTGCGCGTCTGCAGCTGCTGGGCGACTATCATTGTCTGCCACGTACACACAAGCGAACACACAACACACAGCAAAGGAGGGACGCGGATACACACATTACATGTGAAGCCTTGATTGACGCGTGTGTGCTATCCACCTTGTAGAGGAGAGCGTATTGGTTCACATGGATGCTCTCCTCGGGCTCTGGGGTGCCCACGAGGTGTGCTCGATTAGTTATCACCGTGTCAGGGAAGATCGCCTGTGTGGATGGGACGCCCAAAAGACAGACACATCAGACACATCAACGGACAGAGCCGAGTGAAGAGGAACGGTGGTCTCGGGCTGCTCCATCGCACCCACCTTAAGCTCCTCGCCAATGACGCCCGTGATTGGGGTCTCCGCCCCCCCTTGAAGCCCACGTCCGGCCACCTTACGCTGTCAGTGTGACAGCACACACCGAGGGAGATCATTCCATCCCACCCACCCCCTCCATCGCTGCCTTGGCCTGCTCGCTATGCATGCCGTCGGTACCTCCCTACCTTGTATGTGTGCATCTTGATGAACCTGAAGCGCTCATAGGTGTTGCTCAGCTCCTGCTCGGGCATAATGTCCACTTGGGCCAGACTGCTGCGGGTGACCCTGCCGGTCCCGTCGAGGATCTCCTCGGCCGCGACGCTGGCCAGCATGTTATTCTGTCCGCAGCCCATCGCCCCTGCACCGACACACAGACACAGAAGACAGCCAGACAAAAAGACATTAGAGCTCGTGGTGTCAGCTCATATCCGCCTGTATCCACTACGGCGTGCAGAGACCTACCGGATCCATTCTCAACCTCTCCGGTGTCCTCATTTGCAGCCACCAACACTGGTTCAGGTTCGCCTCTTCCCGTACCACTAAGGTCACACTGCAAGGGAAAGATACACAGACACAAATCAGACAGACACGTGGTCCAAATGGCCATCCGCATCCCAGCTACCGCGTGAAGCAACATTTCCTGAACAAGACACCGCAAACCACGTCCTGGGTTGGTTGGGCGTATTGGTTGTTTGGCCGCCTGCCTGACCCTTACCGTCGGCGTAGAGTCCCTCAGGAGCGGTTCATCAATTTGATTCATTGGATTGCAGGCCATCCACATCTTCGCTGATGCTGGCATTGCTGCTGCCAGGGCAGCGAACACGACGAGCAGACGAGTCATGATGCACACACAGCACACAGACCTGCGGTTCGGAAGGGTGAAGAGGAGGCGACAGGGCTGGGATCACCGGATCTTCTCCCTTCTCCGTAGCCGTTACCGGTCGGGGGATCCGTAACTGAAAAGTACCGATGCGAGCTAAGCCGCAACAGAAACGCGATCCCCACTCGCCGATAGCCGCCCCGGTCCCCCTCCTCTTTTCCCCCTCCCTCGGCCTGGCGTGAACCGCGCCTACCTGGACGCGCGTCTCAGATCTCCGTGTGTGTATCATGGCTTGCCTCCTCAACGTCTTCCTTGTTGCTCTGGCAGCAGTGACAGCAACGCCAGCATCAGCGTATCCACCGCCGGCGGCCGGCGGGGGGAAGATGTGGATGGCCTGCAGGCCACCCGATCAAATCGATGAACCGCTCCTAAGGGACGCCAAGCCGACGGTAAGGGCAGGCGGCCAAACAACCAATACGCCCATCCTGACATATTGACGTGGCTTGCGGTGTCTTGTTCAGGAAATTGCGCTTGACGAGGTACATAGATAGGATGGGGATGGGCATTCGACCACGTGTCTGTCTGATTGTCTGTATGTTTGTGTGCATGTTTGGCTTACAGTGCCAGCTTACCGCTCGAGGCAAACCTGATCCAGGGCTTGTGGCGGCAGATGAGACCAACGGAAGGCCTATGCATCAATACGGTAGGTCTTTGCACGCCGTAGTGGATGCAGGCGGATATGAGCTCGACACCATGAGCTCTAATGTCTGTGTGTCTGTCTGTCTGTCTGTCTGTCGGTGCAGGGTCGGTTGGCTGCGGAACGGGCATGATGGTGGGGAGAGTCTTCACCGACAGAGTCTTCGACCGGGACGGCATGGTTACCCGCAGCAGTCTGTCCCAAGTGGACATCATGCCCGAGCAGGAGCGAGGCAACACCTACGAGCGGTTCAGGTTCATCAAGATGCACACATACAAGGTAGGGAGGCACCCACGCCACGATACCGATGGAGGGTGTGGGTGGGTGGGTGGAATGACTTCTCCCTTTGTGTGTTGTCGCTCTGACAGCGTAAGGAGGTCGGACGTGGGCTTCAGGCGGAGGCGGAGACCCCACTCACGGGCGTGATTGGCGAGGAGCTTAAGGTGGGTGCGATGGAGCAGCCCGAGACCACCGTTCCTCTTCACTCGGCTCTGTCCGTTGATGCGTCTGTCTTTTTGGCGTCCCATCCACACAGGCGATCTTCCCTGACACGGTGATGACTGATCGAGCACACCTCGTGGGCACCCCGGAGCCCGAAGAGAGCATCCATGTGAACCAATACGCTCTCCTCTACAAGGTGAATAGCACACACGTGTCAATCGAGGCTTCACATGTATGTGTGTATCCGTGTCCCTCCTTTGCTGTGTGTTGTGTGTTCGCTTGTGTGTGGCAGACAATGATAGTCGCCCAGCAGCTGCAGGCGAAAGTGGAAGCGCTGGAAGCCGAGATCGCTGCCCTGAAGGGCCAGCGAGCCCTCCGCTAAGTAGTCGGTGGATGCCTCCATCCATGGTGTGTGATGGGTGGGGTGTATGTGGTCCATCAATGTGTGCATGCGGGATGCGATGGTTGTGTGATTTTTGCAGTCATCTCGACTGGCAAGCACTGAACCTGTCCCATACATGGGCTCGATGTGGGCGGGCAAGTCGTGTGGGCGTACTGTGGCTTACTTGCGCTACGTGTGCTGCCTTGGTTGTCTGTCGTGCACTGTGTCACTTTACTGTGTCTGACCCATCCACTTTGTTTGTGCAACTGTGATTTTTGGCTGGACAGATGGCCGTCCACATTATTTGTTGGCGCTGGCGGGCGAGAGCTTGCCGACACTGCGGCGCAGCCTAATGGATGTGTGACGTGCGTGCCGGCTCATGTTGTTATTTTCACGTGTAGCCATCGTGGGAGCGTAGCTGTAATGGAGACGAAAGGCGCGCTGCTTGGAGTTCTTTTTGGTCTGGACAGATGTCTGTCCACACTGTTGGGTGCCACCCTGGTGTCTGCGTGTTGGGTGCCGTGTGTGTGTGTGTGTGTGTGTGTTGACTGGCTGGTCAGTCAGCGGTCCTCCGAAACAGGGAGGTGCTGAGGTACCTGCGCAGATCGGCAGACACACACAGTGCCACGTGCCTGATGCATTGGATGGATGGATGATGCGCGTGAGGGAGATGCGACGTGTGACACAGTGGGCCATTGCATTGCCGGGGCGGGACGCACAGACACATGGGGATGAGAGCACTGAAACCATCAGAAGGAAGCAACAATGTCCTCCCCTCCGATGAACAATCCATCACACACTGAATGTATGACAGACTGCCCACCACGAATACCCGTCCATTGCCTGCGTGAATATCCCGTCGGCTCGGATGACATACACATGGCTGGACGAGTCACGCGTGCGTGTAGAAATAAAGGGAGAGGTCACGGAAATGCGCGATCCAAGCTCGCCGAAGCGGCAACGGCAGAGCCGTTGCGGCTCCGTGAAGTTTCCGTAACGTCTTCGTTACCGTCTCCGTACAGATCTCTCCTTCGTGAAGTTCAAGTTTTCTGTTCATCCTTTCGAACTCCCCGCCAGATCGTCACCACGATGAGGACCCTCTTCGCCCTTGCCCTTATCGGCCTGCTCGCCTTGGCGGCGGCACAGGAAGTGCCTCGTGCCGGCGTGCCTGCACGTCGGCTCCAGAATGGCGACCCCGAGCCAGGCGACGGCACTGACGGCACTGACGGCACTGACGGCACTGACGGTGACAATGGAGACGGTGACAATGGAGACGGTGACAATGGAGACGGTGACACGACCGAAACCACCACTCGTAGGACCATCTGCAGCCAGACCTGACTTGTCACCGCCTGTTTGTCTGGTGTGTGTGTGTGTGTGTGTGCGTGTGTGCTGTCCTGGTCGGTCGTTTCTTATGCTGTTGTGCTGCAGCGAAACCACCCAAGGATAAGTGCTGCTGGGACTGCAGGCTCTTCGATTGGCAGGTGGGTGGGGTGGGTGCGACCATGCAATGAGGAGACGGTGTGTGTCTTGTGTGGCTGCTGATGACACTGATGACAGTGCTGGAAGTATGAGTGTTCGTTCTCCGCGTGCACCGATGACGAGAGCACCAGACAGGACGACGCCGACGAGGAACCAGCCGAGGAGCCGCCCACCACGACTGGTGGGTGGTGCAGCAATGCACACAAGGTCATTCGCTAGCTCGAATGTCTGTCTTGTGTCTTGTGTGTTCCTTTCTGGCTGCTGCAGAGAAGCCAGATGAGAAGTGCTGCTGGGAGTGCCCTCTGTTCGATTGGAACTGCTGGAAAAACGAATGCAAATGGTCCGCCTGTGACCATTCTTGGGCCGAAAAACACCCTGAGGAGGCTTCAGCTGCCCAGCAGAGAATCACGACCTGCAGGGACCTCAAGACTGGTAGGTGGGGCATCCCGGCCAGCGTGCATACACGTGACGATGTTCCTGGTTCTCATCGCTCGTGTGTGTGGTGCAGATGAAGGCTCCCTCCGCAGCCCCGCGGCTGAGCAGGCACGCGAGGAGTGCGCCTTCTTCATGGATATCATCACGGCCGCTAAGTCAAGCATTCGTAAGGCCACTGTATGTACAGATTGGGAGTGTGCACCTACATAATTTCTGTCTTGGGTCTGCATGCAGCTGGTGAGCTGAGTGTTGATCCGGAGGGCGATGTGAACCGGAGAAAGTGCCCGTTTCTCCGCAAAAACAACACCTATATTTTTGGCGCGGTCATTGATACCAAGCAATACAACACTGAGGCGGAGTGCAGGCAGAAGTGTCGCGACAAGAAGAAGTGCCGCTTCTACACCTACAAAAACGGCGGCACCACCTGCTACTTGCAAGGTGCGCCCGTCCATCTGTTAGCTACGGAACGAGCCATACGTACACACACGAGCCTCAGTTTGATTGCACCTCTGTGTCTGTCTCTCTCTTCGTTCCTTCTTTCTGTGTGCGTTCATGGATCCGTCTGTCTCTCTCTCTCTCGCCTACAGGTCATAAGAGCAATGTAAACCAGTCAGTGGCTACCAGGTTCGACCCTTTTAACGGCTGGGTGTCGGCCATTAAATTGTGCTGATCAAGCTGTGCCGATCTTTCTATCGACTGACTGACCTCCGTGATGCGTCAGCCCGTGAGTTACTTTCTATGGTCGTGTGCCATCTACCTGGCTACCTGCCGATCAGCATCCCCGCACGGCACTTAATTCGGTAGAGTTATTTGTCTCGCTGTGTCCCTCGTGCTACATGTATGTATGCATGTGTGTACGTGTGCATGCATGTCTGTATGTACGTATGTACGTGTGTACATACGCGTGTATGTATGCATGTCTGTCTGTATGCATGTGTCTACGTATGTACGTATGTGCGTGTGTGTACGTATGTGCATTCTTCGGTCTGTCAGGCCGGTACTTTTCCTTGTTTGTTTTGTGACACGGCACGGTCAGTCAATCAGTCAGTCAGGCGGCTGTGGATGGTGTGTCAGCGTTTGTCTGTGCGGCGCCCGAAAAAGGGGACGCTGAGCCGACAGACGCCGTTCGTCGCACCCAAGCTGCCATTCCATTGTCACCATCCATCGATGACTGCTCTGTCACCATCCATCGATGACTACTCTGCAGCACGTGTTATTTTCTGGCGTATGCCTGTGAGGAAAGGCATGGGTGGATGGGTGGGTCGGTCGACGGAGAGAAATACGGACACGCCTGGCCTGATCTGATCCATGTGGCTGTACATTCGTGGATACTAACACTGCGGGAAAAAGGGACAGGGCGGAACACACACTGTCAGACGGTCACATGGGTATGATATCACAGCACCACCTGCAATGATTCGTCGAGCTCGAGCGGATACACTCAAATGACTCAAAACTGGCGAACTGATCGCTCACACGTCAACCCATATATTCACTCATTCGACAGCCACGTACACGATACAACACATAATACATAAGTTCCATGCGCTCTCTCTCTCTGTCTCTCTGTCTCTCTCTGTGAATGTCGCCGAGACGAAGGGAGACATTCATGCAGACAAATGATGTGGAGTGGACGGTATTCCTGGTGGGCAGTCTGTCTGCATTCAGCGTGTGATGGATTGTTCATCAGAGGGGAGGGCGAGAGTGCCTTTGCCGATGATTGCTGGTTTCTTCTGATGGTTTCAGTGCTCTCATCCCCACATCCCCACGTGTCTCTTTCCCAACCCGCAATGCAATGCAATGTCCCATCGTGACGTCGCATCTCCCTCACACATCATTCATCCATCCAATGCCTCAGGCGCGTGGCACTGTGTGTGTCTGCCGATCTGCGCAGGTACGTCAGCACCTCCCTGTTTCGGAGGTGCCACTGACTGACCAGCCAGTCAACAGACACACACACGGCACCCAACACGCAGACACCAGAGCAGCACCCAACGGTGTGGACGAACCTGTCCAGACAAAAAAGAACTCCAAGCTGCCCGCCTCTCGTCTCCATTACAGCTACGCTGCCACGATGGCCACACGTGTGACAATCAAGACGAGCCGGCACGCATGTCACACATCCATGAGGCTGCGCCGCAGTGTCGGCAAGCTCTCGCCCGCCAGCGCCAACAAATAATGTGGACGGCCGTCTGTCCAGCCAAAAATCACCGTTCTACGAGTGAGTGGATGGGTCAGCCACAGTAAAGTGACACAATGCACAGACAACCAAGGCAGCACACGTAGCGCAAGTAAGCCACAGTACGCCCACACGACTTGCCCGCCCACATGGACCCCATGTATGCGGACAGACTCAGTGCTTGCCAGTCGAGAGGATTGCAAAAATCACACAACCATCGCATTTTCGGCCTGGACTCTGGCCACCATCATGTCCTTTCCGCAGCCCATCGACCCTGCCCGACACACCGACACACAGAAACATACAAGACATTAGAGCTCGTGGTGCCGAGCTCATCAGCCTGCATCCAATACGCCGCGCGAAGACTTACCGTCTGGACTCATGAACGTCTCTATGCCCGTCTCGTGTTCTGCCACAAACGAGGGATCAGGTGCGTCGGCGGTAAGCTGGCACTATAAGCTAAACATACACAGACATACAGACAGTCAGACAGACACTCCAAGTGCCTATCCCAATCCTCTCTACCCGCCGGGGGTCGTCCCCCTTTCATTTCAACGCAACACACCCGCCGGGGGTTCGTTCGGGACTCGCGAGTTTCACGAGCGTGGCACGCTCTTACGAAACAAAGTGTTCTTGTTTGTTTGTCCGTAATTGGGGCCAAGCTAGCAATTCCCTTCGGTTCCCTTGCGGGGGCTTGCATGCGAGCTTGGGGGCTTTGCATGCATGGGGGCTTTGCATTTCGTTTCGGGAACGCGAGCGAGTCCCGCCAGCCCGACGGAGGAGGGAAATTTCATCCCTGAAACCGCTGCTGCAGCTCGCACCCCTGAGGGGCGGTGACGGAGCCGTAACGGCCTAACCCTGGGGCGGTAACGGAGCCGTAACGGCCTAACCCTTTCTCCCCCTCTCCTCCTCTTCCCCCCTCCGCCGCAGATCTGTGTGCTGTGTGTGCATCATGACTCGTCTGCTTGTCGTGTTCGCTGCCCTGGTAACGATGGGTCTGGCCGCTCCTTATGCCGACCCGCCCGTGCCTGCCGCAGACCCGGAGTCTCCCGAGTTTCAACTTGGAGACGCACCTCGTACAGTTGAGCTCGAGGAGGACCTCGGCGGCTTCACGGAACAAGACGACGATGCAGACGGCGACGATGTAGGCTAGTGGAGCTTGCTGACGCAGGGTGTTGAGTCTCATGCACATAGATGGCTGTTCTTCTGTTTGGGTGCAGGTGTGGGAGGACTGGATGAATCCTGAGCATCCCGACAGTCCCTACAGAGACGAGGCTGATGAGGACGGCATGGAGGAGGAGCAGGCTTCCTCCCATGTACGCGCACCCGAGCTCTCACACAAACCTACACATGAGATGCGAGTGCGTTGAGTCTCGGTAATTATTGTCGACCCTGTTCCTTGTGTGCTTGCCCTCAGGGCAACACAACTGCTGTTTCGGAGCAGCAGAGGCCAATTGGGAGTAGATGCAGTCGCACCCGGGATTGCAACTCTAAGAACTGCGTCAATGGTTGGTGCTGGCCGAAGAAAGCGCTGGCCCCATATGGACACCGCTGCAGATACGACAACGATTGCTGCTCCAACGAGTGAGTAGACATGAGAGGACAGCATGCTGCAGGCCAATCTCCTTTGTTGAACTCTCTTCTGCTCTTGGTCTTTCCATGCAGTTGCGACGACCAACGTTGCGATAGAAGGAACAGGAAGTGCAACCGGAAGCTGTATGGCTGCATGAAGAGGAAGACCCCGTCCACCCCTTTCAACCTCCACAAGTATGTGTGCATGACGGACCTGAAGCCTGGTCCGTCTGGGCCGACGCGTTTGCATAAATCGGGAAATGAGGCGTGCAAGAAGTACGGGTGGAGAGGATGCTTGTGGATGGAGGTCTCGTGCCACAACAACAACACTCCCGAGACATGGTTAGTCAAGTGAACTTGAAGAGACCTGGCCGTTCGCACGATTCGTGTTTGTATGTGCAGGAGACGTAGTAGCAACACATGCGCTCACAGGGGTCCGTTTGCCGCCAACGGATGCGCCTACAGAGCAGGTGTGATATGCATGGACGCACGCGCTCTCCAACAGACAGATTCTTCACTAACACGCCGAACATTGTCTTAATTATCTGTTCTCAACCTGTTTTCTGCCTGTGTGTATCTGTTGTTGCCTGCAGTTTGCTTTTAAACTTGGACGAGCCCACAATCCGTGTGATGTGATTTCCCGAGCACGTGTACGATTACTCGTGACAGTGCTGATGTCAGTGTCTCCTGTTGTGGTCAGCTTCTACAGCTAAGTCACTTTCTCGATGTGGCCCTCTTAGCCAGCCAAGGGTGCCTTTCATGATTCATACATGAATGTGTGTGTGTGGCCGCAAATGGCAACAATTCGTACAGAGAGGCGTGCATGTGATCTTTTGTGTGTGTTGGGGGGGCTGGCAAGTCGGTCCCCTCCAAATGAGAGTGACTGGCTGGTCGGCTCGCCGTGCGCATACAAATGCATTCGTGCGTGACTGTGTGACTGACGCTGCGTGTGTAGGGATGTGTCATGACGTCTGTGATGTGATGTGATGTATGGTACACGTGCGCGGAATGGGAGGGCTCGCGTGATTCGTCAGTTGTCAGTTGTCTCGTACGTGACGCTGGACGCTGCTGCGTGAATGATTGTGTGCAGGCGGGCGAGAGCTTGCCGACACTGCGGGGCAGCCACATGGATGTGTGACATGCATATCGGGTGATGTTATTTTCACACGTGTAGCCATAGTGGCAGCGTAGCTGTAAGGGAGACAGGGTAGTCAGTACTTTGCTTTCCCCCACATGAGCTCGAGTTTTTTTTTTCTTCTAGACAGACGTCCGTCCGCAGTGCTTGTTCGTGTTATCGACTGGCCGGTCATATGCATGGGTACATGCATGGATCGGATGGATGACACACGTGGGACTGGATGAATGCGACGTGACGATGGTGGAACACTGCATTGCATGGCGGGAAATGGGGAAGGCGGGACAGAGTGGGACATTGACTACAGACACATGGGTAGAGACGAGAGCACCAACTAAGATGAATCATCGAACACAATGTCTGTCCCACCGAACACCGAGTTAAATGCCATTAAGACAGGCGCACGTCGGCTCAGCGACCATCGATCCACTCATGAACTGCACACCGACGCTCCTTACGCCAATACGATACCCACATAATAGAACATAACAGGGCGCAGATAAAGTCACATCGCTCTAAATACACTCGAGCCGATCGAAGTCACTTGACGGGAGACAGACAGACTTACGGAAGCGCGTGTGAGCGGCAAAGCCTCACAGTGCGACAGGTACGAGCAGCAGACAATTGGCTGACTGGTACGCACCACAGCGGGACGGCAAAAAGCCGAGAAAAAGATGAACACAGAAGAGGCATACCGCGCACGTCACGAATGTAGGCACACCCACGGATGCACACATGCAGCCACTCAGTCATCGGGGCGACACACGGCCGTTGTTCGCCTGGTGACCCTTGTCCGCTTGCCTTGCCGTCTTGAAGGCGGCATACACGTCCTTCCAGCCGGGGCCAGCATTGATCAGCCGATCCACAACGAACGCCATGCTACTCTGCACGTACCACATGGCCAGACACAGAGCGACAGGGAGAACAGGGAGAGAGAGAGGAGATGCGAGACTGATACGATGTCGCTGGTGCTTGTTTGGTTACCTGGAAGTCGGTGAATGGTATGCCTTCGGTCTTTGCGGTGTCGTCGGTGACGGCCTCTTCCTGAATCGCATTCATCAGGTCCACAAAGGATGACGAAGACCCCCTCCGCAACGACGACCTTGTGGCCACCTGCGCACATGTGCGCAACACAACAGAAATGACCGAAATGCGGAGACGCCATGTGTACATTTATGTATATGTATGTGCATGTGCATACCCTCAGTTCCAAGGACGGCAAGAGGACGATCCGTTCGTTGCCTGACGTCGGATCCTTGATGGTCCTCTTCCTCCGACGGTACACATCAAAGGTCTGGCTCCACAAGAACTCGACGAAATCACTCGGCACCGCCTGGATGCCCACTTGCTCGATGACCTCCTGCATCGACTCACTCGTCAGCCGCATGACCTCAGAACACCACCGCTTCCGCCGGTCGCTCTCCACACGACGCGCACGCATTGTCCGTGTAGTTAGAGTCAGCGCCGCTGTTGACATGCGATTCCACACCTCCTTCAGCGGATTGGCAGAACGGACTGACGGCTCGGTCGGTGCCACCGAGGACGGCTCGGCAGCATCGGTCACTGTGGTGCGCTGGCTGTGCTCCATGGCGGGCAGCGAGTGGGTGGATGCGATCACCTGGGGAATCCGCTGTGCCTGGTCTGGTGGCAGGCTGTCGGTCGCCGCGGACCAGATGGCAGCAGGTAGGTCGCCTCTCGACCCGAGATGCTGCCCGGCTATGGGGAGATGGGGGCCGAGTGACGTGCCAGTGTCGCCCTCGACGGAAGGGGGGAGGGACCGGGTGGTCGCTGCGGCCGTGTGGTCGGCGGAGCAGGGCGGGAAGAGGCAGGGGGCAAAGACGGGCAGCTGCTGCACTTGCACGGTGGCAGAAGAGTCGAAGTACAGGTCGTCCAAACTGGTGGCCGTGTTCTTCTTGCGTAAGCTGCCGTCATGAGCCCCAGGTGCTACCTCCAGCAGCGCAGGCGGTGCGCTCTGCGTCGTCATAGGCACGGGGAGGGGCAGCGATGACGCATGCAGCACCACCTTGCCCTCGACAGGGGCGCGGCTGCGTGGCGGCTTGCTTGGTCGACGTGAGCCAGATGAGCCTGATGGCGTGGCTGCCGTCCCCTTGCCGCCGCCCTTGCCCTTGCTGCTGTCAAGGATGATGGTAAGCTCACTGCCGTCGGCGTCGAGCCACACTGTTGGGACTCTTGCTCGTCGGCGGTCCTCACAATCCCCCACAGTGAAGGCGATGCGACGCATAGCCGCCATGATGATGCCGTCCCTCTTCTCTCGGGCACCGGGAGCACTGTCCGGTAGGTGCTCGAGAATCAGGATGGACGTCATCAGCACATCGAGCGAATGCTGTACAGTGTGACAAATGAGGGCGATGATGTGATAGGCGTTGATCAGCACCACAACGGTCGTCAGCACGTATCCCAGCACCTCCTGAAACTCCTGGCTCACAGTCGGGTGGGCGGCTGTCAACGCCATCATAGTCGGATGGGCGGCTGTCGACGCCAGCAGCATCAGACACCACAGTGAGATGTTCCAAATCAGCAAACCTGAGTTCAATCGATCGACAGACCAACACATTGACGCACCCGACCATGCAGGCAGTGTGGCCCGGCCGCCTACATACCTTGTGCCTCCATGCGATTGAGTATGTTGAAGGATCTGCTGTCGAATGGCCTCACCCACAGCTGCACGATGAGCGACGAGGCAGCCACGAGCTGCCAACACACCAGCTGGATCATCTCGTCACCCAAAGACGCACCCGCCTGCGCTATGACAAGAGCCGCAATCCGCCGCAAAGCAAAACAGACATCCCAGTAGAAGAAGGACCGACGGTAGCCGTTGTAGAGAAATCCCAGGTTCTTCCGCGTCTGCCGCTTGTAGAGCCGCCCCGACCGCTGGTACGAGCACAGAATGCTCAGTGCCGCGATGACCGGGCCGAAGGACCACACGCACAGCCCCACGACGGAGACGATGGTGAAGGTGAGGTGCTGGCCGGTGTAGCAGAGGATTGAGGGGTCGAGCAATGAGCGGCGGATGGTTGGATAAGGCCCCTCGAGGGGTTCGCCGGGGGGCTCTGACAAGCGGATGGTCGGGAAGGTGCGGCAGGGGAGGATCTCCAGCAGCTGACGCGTCACGGCTAAGGACGACAGGCAAGGACACAAAAAGAGCACGCGACCTCTTCATCTGTCTGGTCTGTTTGATTGTGTGCCTGGCTCACTTGGGTGGATGAATGTGAGGCACACCACCCATAGTTGGGGACAAATGAAGTACTGCAGCCACCTGTCCTTCCGTTTCCGCCGCCTCTCGCTGACGTTGTCGGAGTGCGACTGTCGCATAGCAGACCGGGAGGCACTGCCTGACTCTGAGAAGGCGCGCTGGGTTTGGTGCTGTTGCTGCCCCTGTTGATGTGGCGAGTCTGCATCATCGTCGTCGTCTGTGTCGGGCTTGTTTGTGCCTGGGCAGCACAGCTGGGAGAGGTTGGAGGCCTTGCAATGGAGCGGCAGGATCCGCCACAGACCCCCTGACAAAGGACAGCACACGAATATGCATGGAGTGACTAGTTGACAGCCCGCCTACAGCAGAGTGTGGCGACGGTCAACCTGTGAATCAACCAACACAACGCGAGGAGGGAAGCGACATGAATCAATCACAGCGGATCGGGCTGTCTCGGTGGCTGACTGACCATACGAGGGGAAACACGATCCACGCAGCTCTCCTGGCCAGCATAGCGTCGCTGCCCCGCATCCCGTTGTCTTTCAACAGACACTCCCACGTGACGTCTGCCGTCGGCACTCCACCTGCACCAACACACAAAAAGGCATGCAAACGATGCAGCCAGTCTGCTTGCCTTCAGTGTGCTGCGCATACACTTACCGTCCCATCTAAAGGCCCATCTGATGAGCTCAGTGGCCTCGGGCGGGAGCATGCGAGAGAACTGGAGGCCAAAGAATGTCAGGGCACTCACCTGCGTCATTCACAGGTAGACAGACAGACAGACAGATAGACAGACAGACGGACACGACAGTCAGACAAGCGAGGTGGATTCATTCGTCGCTTGGCTGGCTCTGTGTCCGACTGAGTGAGTCACTGACCACTGTGAGATGGTTGAGACCTGTGAATGACAGACACACGCATGAGTGACAGTCTCGTTCGCTTTCTGAGTCTTTTTCACTGCTGACCGATCTTAATGAGCATCGCGTGGACATGAGCACGAGGCAGCACACTCGACCTATGCAGGGACACACAACCGACGAATGGAGCCATGCAGCAGACCAGTCGGCCGTTTGTGTCACCGCACCTCTGCGAGAGTGTGGTGGCAATGAATATGACGATCAAGACGACCACGTACAGGACGATGGCTCCCGTGATGTTCCACCCGTGGCTGCCGCACATCCTGCACAGACCCGACAGTGTCCCCACACTCCGCCACCCCTTGTCGCAGCTGCCGCACATGGGACCCGTGTGACCCTCCTGCTTGATCGATGACGATACACACACAACACACCAGTAAGTGAGCTGTCCGTCGCGCCATATCGCCGTCTCGTCTTGCCTTGCATTTGTTGAGCTTTGTGACGGTCTGTGTTGTGTTGTCCCAGTCCGAACCCTCGCAGGCCTCCGGAACAGGACACCGCACCAACACATGCCTCGAAGTCACGTGTGCATCATACCTAAGCAAACCACAGTGACGTCCAGCAGTCGGCGCAGAATGTGTATGGCACACACATACTTACGTTGATATCGGCAACGGCAGCCGTCGGTAGGTGACGTTCGTCTCAGGGTCCACCCACACGGGCGGCAGAGCGAGCTCTTCTGCAACAGCTTCACCGCCGCCCGCCCCCCTAAGCGGCGCACTACGCCGCTCAGACTTCACATTTGCTGCACTGAGTTCAGGCTCCGATGTGTATGCCGACAGGGGGATGCCGCGCACAAGACCGAGTTGCAGAGTTTGGTTGAAAGCCGGGATGACTGCTTCTGCACGCCACATCTCGAGTTTGATGATGGCGTCATGATGGTTGCAGATCTCTCTGGAGAGCGCCTCTGTCGACTTGGCGGGCAGCACGGGCACGTTGACAAAACAATCCACATCCAGCTCGTACCATCCAGGATTCACGAGAGGGGGTCTAGGACGCTGGTAGTCGGTGACGACCAGTATGCCTTCGTCCTTGGCGCTGTTGGCGGAAACATCATCGGTGCCGTTGCCATGTGACGTGACGCAGAGGGTTGAGCTGTTGGGGGATGGCATCGGCATCAGGCTCTCAGTTGGCATGAGGAAACACTCCTTTCGGAGGCGATCGCTGCAAACAGGCAGGCAGGCAGGCAGGCATACAGGTAACGAGATGGTCAGAATGAGCACGGAAACCGATTTGGTGGGTGAGTGAGTGGCTTACAGAGAGTACGGGGCTTCACAGAAGCAGTCTCCTTCGGATCGGCTGCCTGGCGGAGAAGTGAACTGTTTGCCGGGGCATGAAAAGCACGGCAGCTCGTTCCCCGGCGCTGGCTTGAACGTCCCTGAAATACGCATAGACACACGAATTCAGGCGCTAGATAGGCCGCTCATTCTTTGATTACGTGTGGATGTGTACCTGGCGCACATTGCCCACACTCGTTGTTTTTATACTCATATCCGAGATCGCACACACACGCCGTCCCATCGTCGAGGGCCACTGGACAAGCACAAATGCAAGGCTCATACACGGATGCGTCAACTGTCCCCTGTGAAGAAGAGCTCCGCTTACCCTCGCCTGATGGGCACGGTTGACAGGTGTCGGTGCCAACTTCTCTGTTGCTGTATGTGCCATCCGGGCATTTGGTGCAGGTGCGACCGTGGCCTTCATAGCCGGGTATGCAACGACACAATACCTCTTCGTTGACCGTTTCATCTACCTGACTCATACAGACAGGCAGACAGACAGACGGCAGGTGTACACGGGACGGCCTGAAGGAGTGGCATCCACCCCTCTTTTGTGGTCTCACCTTCAAGATCTGGCTCTCGATGCAGAGCCTGGTGCACTCGACGCCATCCGTCCCGTTCAGTGGCCGGTATCCTGAAGGAATGAAGGAGGGACAAGAAGACCGTTGTTATGTGTGTCACATGCAGAGGCCCTTGCTCTTTCGTCGGTCACATGCTCACACACTGACCATAGAAGTCGGCGTAGAGTTCCTCAGTGTTGCCCTGCCACAGGCCCTCGAAAATCTCCGAGCACGGTCGACCCTCGTGGGGATTGATCTGCACAGGAAGATACATCATTGGATGCACACGAAATCCCTGAATGCCGCTCGCTATCCGTGCGTGCCGTACGTCTTTGATTCTCAGGTCTGGGTTTTTCTGCAGGTTGGCCCGCTGCAGAAGCTTCCAGTTGTGTCGAGTATACCACACATATTCCAGGGGCTCGGTGTCCATGATTATCCTCCGGAGACGGTTGCCGGCGATGTGCAATCGGTGCAGCTTGTTGGGGAGAGAGTACCTGACGAAGCACACGACACAGAGAGGCACAGTTGACTGTGTGTCTCATGACCGCCTGAGTCTTGGTACGTGCATACCATCCATCGCGGATTTCCTCAATGTCATTGTAGTTGACCCCAAGCCACTGGAGCTTCTCAAATCCCTTCAGCGCCCTCAGGTTAATGTCGGGGTACAGGTCAGCAACTGTGACGGAATAGTCGAGCTTCTCCACGTCGACCACCGACCCGTCGTCAACGAATTCGTCCACCTCGACAGGCTCACCACTCGCATCTGGATCCACCATGCTCATGCTCGTGGCGTTCTCCTGCAGCCCATAGGCAGCCATGAATGACCTCTTGTAGCGCCGGAATGCGGGTCTGTCGAGGAGTCCTTCGCTCAAGACATGTTGCAGGTCGACGACGGTCACCCCAGATGGGGTGAGGGCGCCGTGTAGGCCGTTTTCGAGGCTGAAGAGGCTGACGAGGCTGCTTTGGAACGACCATGGCATGAGGAACTCGTCAACGGAGATGTTGAAGTCGTTCCTGCTGATGGATAGTGTCTCGATGCTCGGCCAGTAGGGGGGCGGGTTGGCGAGGATCTCAGCGACGATGTGGGCGCTCGGACCTGTCCGGCCATATGACACCAGACAGCGATGGATTGGAGCTGCTTTGCGAGCGATTGATTGATCGTCCTCCCTCCTTGCTTACTTGTAATGGCTCGCAGACCGAGGGAGTGCCTTCCCCACGTCAGCTGATCACCGATGCGGTTATCCGACAAATATAGAGTCTTGACTGCACATACACACAAAGACAGACAGCAGGCAGGGACGAGGCCAGAGAACAGTCAATTGCACACACAAGAGCCAGTCGGTGCTGAAGTGAGTGAATGACGTACTCGTTTCCAGCCGTCTCCAGTTTGGGGGTATGCGACTCAGACTGTTTTTGGACACATGCAGCCGCTCCAACCTGCAAGCATGCACCACCACAACCACATCGTAAACTACTCTCGTCACGTGGAAGTGTTGACTCCTCTTTCTCACATACATGGGTGGCATTCGCCAGTCGCCTTCGAAGTCCTCGAAGTCGTTGCTGTCGAGCCGCATGCTCCTCAGCCCACGCATATTTGACAGCCACGCAGGGATCACGCCAGATAGGCGGTTTCGTGAGAGGTCCAAATCCCACAGACGCTGGAGGCCTTCGATTGTCGCAGGCAGCTTGTTCACTCTGAGAACACACCAACACAGCAACAGATGCATGGGGGTCGTGCAATCTCTCTATGTCTTTGCTGACCTTGTGATGGATATGGAGAGGGTTCGAAGGTCTGTGAGGTTATTGATCGAGTCGGGAATCGCACCCCGAATACCCTGCATCGGACACGCACCAGAAATGGACACACGATAGATGCCGGATACACTCAGCCGACAAATGCACGCATGTGCCTGCCTAAAGCGCCTCACGTACCCTGCTCTGGATCATTTTCAAGTCTCGCAAAGAGGTGACGTTCCCCCAGGCGGCTGGGATGGTGCCCGTGACATTCTCACTGTTCTCCAGCCGAAATGTGTGGAGGTTGGGCAGGCCCTCGAGAGCCGGCAGCCCGCCAATAATGGCCGTATTCCTCATGTGGAACAGCTCCAGGGACTCACATCCATCGAAAGCACCCTCAAGCGATCCCGTGATGCTCTCACCTAGCAGCCTCGCTATCCTCAAAGTGGTGCATTGAGGGGGAGGGGCGGGCGCAGACGAGTTGGCGCCTTGGCCGTGGAAGAGGGAATGCACGTTGAAGCCCAATGGGTTGCGGATGAGAGAGAGCGCCTCCAGTGATTTGCCGAACATCGTGTGGAAGGATGGTGGCAGAGTGCCATTCAGCTGGGTATCATCCAAATAGAGGCCGCGTAGTTCCGGCAAAGAGACGATGGCGTCAGGCAGTGGGCCACTCAGTTGACTCTGCAACATAACAGCCAGCTGTCAACAGTTACAAGTCACACAAAGACGGCAGGGAGCACACACAACTTCAGGTCGTGTGTGCCCTGCCCCTGTCCTCTCCGCTGACCTGGTCGACATACAGCAGTCTTAACTGCACCATATCGCCGATCCTATCAGAAAGACTGCCGTCGAGCGGCGCGTTCATCAAGACCACGCCCAGCAGCCCCCTGAGATCGTAAAAAGATGTAGGGAACCGAACGCCCCCCTCCGGGAAGATCAGCTGAGCTTCATGGTCGGGGTCCAGAACCATGATGTAGCCGTCGACCATCCCTTCCCCCCCTCCGGCCCATGACTCGACCTCATCGGTCGTTGGCAACGCTTCACGAGCCGTCCGGAAGCGAACGCACACGATGAAGGGCAGACCGCACACGCGGAAGAAGGGATCCATGTTGACGCCTCTCATCTCCACATCCAGTGAACGGATGAACTGCCTCAGCGGCCCCCTGGCATCCTCCTCACACACAGTGCAGTCCTCATGAATCACCGGCTCGGCGGCATCGGTGACATTGACAGCATCCGATCCCACGAGCACACGCATCGATGTGCCGGGCATCACGCGATCCTCACCGAACGGCAGATACTTCTGCAGCAGCCGCAGCTTCACCACAGCTGACATGGCATGGCCACGCTGCTCCGGAGATGCACTGGCCGACACGGCAGGTGGAGTATCCAAGACTGTGAACCAGTCGCTGTACTCGTGCAACAGAGATGCGTCAGCCGATACGCCATCAGCGACATCTCTCGTCAGCCCGTCGGTTGGTTCGGCGACCTGCAGCTGGCGGCTTGCTGCTGCCGGTGGTGCTGATGCTGAGCGCTGATAACGCGGCAGCGAGTGCGATTGATAGAGAGAGAGCTCATGAGTGTCGTCATCGGCCTCCTCACGATGAGGCAGATAAGCCGCCGGAGGAACTGCAGCGAATGAGTCCCTCCGCTCCACTAGCCGCCCAACGATGAAAGCAGCTGCCATCCAGGCAGACACGGGACTCTCCCCTCCCCATGACGGCCCATGAGTCCCATTGCAGACACACTCGCAGTGGCAAGGCTCATCCTTCACAGCCGAGGCGGCTGTCCTCTTGGCCACAGCAGCCGATTCTCCATCAGCTCCACCACTCACCGCAGCGACAACAGGCAGGACTCCCATAAAGAGACTGATGGAAAACCTCCCTAATGGGAGCCGCCGGCGATGATGTCCATCACATGGTGCCATCAGGTGCACACACACTTGCCAGATCTTCCCTTGTCGTCTGCGAGCTTAGATCGGGAGAAGGAAGTAGGCCAGGGATGTCGATGTTGGCGCTGATCGTGGTGATCTTCGTTCTGATTGTCCTCCGCTTCGGCCCTTCCCTAGTCCTAATGGTCCTCGATGCATGCCGGTGGCGAGATCGCGACCATGAGCAAGACGATGGGACACGGCACCAACACCAAAGACGCACCTCACCTCTCGAGGTAATCTCTCCCAGGGGAAGGGGGAGACCGCCGCACCAGCCACCGGCGCACGAGAAGGTCAAGTTCATCGACCTCCAGGCGAGCACGAGAGGAGAGAATCCACATGGGGGGCTGCGAATCTGTGGTTTGTCTTTCTGGTTGGTGCAGATCTTCAGGTACGAGCCGATGGAGCCGACGCCACGAGCAGAGGAGGGCAACCTCGCTACCGCCACCATGAGCAACGAGGAGGACTCGACCGCCTCGGCCGATAGCCAGAATGTGTGTTGCGTGTGCCTGTCGGCGTACCAGGAGGGCGACGTGTGCGCCACCCCCACATCCCCGTCGTGCCAGAACCACACATTCCACAAGGTAAGCTATACCGGCCTGCCGAGCAGAGGCCGTGTCACGACACATGCAACACAACACATGCACAAGGCATGGACTCTGTGTACGTGTGTCAGGAATGCCTTGAAGGGTGGATGGCCCAGGGCCACTTCACCTGTCCGATCTGCCGCACCCCGCTGGACACGGTGGACCCCTCTCCCCTCCCCTCCGTGTGTGGCCACCACCGGGCGCACAGCAAGGGCCATGGCCACCCCCAGCTGCTGCGTGTGTCTGTGTCGCGAAGCGGCTCGCAGCTCGGGATGGAGGGCGAAGCCCAGGTGCTGCAGGAACAGAGTATTGTCGATATCGATATCGATGCCGCTGACGGACAGATCCGAAGACTGGCCGCATGACGGCCGGTCTTGGGTGGGGGGTGGAGGGGGCGGGTGGTTTTGTCCACCGCTGTAGCTCTTGCTTCTCTTTTTCTCCTGTAGTGGACGTACTCTTGTCAGTGAGGACCGAACGGAGTGTCGCGGCTCGCGCACCGACCGAAGAGTTCCTCTGCCTGTCTGTCTGCCTGCCTGTCTGTGTAATGTGGGGCCGGGAAGGGGTGAGTGGTGTCTTTTATCAGTGGTGCATTCATTCATTTCTCACTCTCACTGCGTCTGCATCTGTCGCGTGATGCGTGCGTGCTCTGATCGATCGCAGTTACTGTGTACGAGATTGACTGATTGGTTGTGTTTCCAGCCCGCCGGGGCTGAGTTGCTGAGACGCACAGACGGAGGGAGGGAGCGAGGGAGAGAGGGAGGGTGGGAGGTTGAGATGATCTGAGGGGATGCATTTGTCTCTCTCTGCGTGGGTGGTGGGGTGGGGGCGCTTGCCCGGCCGCCTGCTTTATGTGTGTGTGTTGACTGATGTGTAAGGAACGCAAGATGTGCGTCGCTTTTGGTGTGGGAGTGGTGCGCGGGGACTGAGGGACAGCTAGCTGGCTGCGAGTATGTGTCAGTTATCAGCCGGCATTGCTACGGCGTACACACATGGACCAACCACATGCGGTGCGATGCACTCACTGTCCGACGTTTGTCACAAAAATGTGCAGCGCACACACACACAGGCACCCACAGCGGTCGACAAGAGCAAGATACAGACAGCCAGCCAGGCAGGCCGACAGACAGACAGGGAGGTGTCTGCTGTGCTGTGGTGGTCTAGACACAAGGCGATCGATCAGCAAGGGAAGGCGAGCGTGGCATCCATCCATCCATCCATCCCATGATGGAAATCAAACACTCACATGACACACACATGACCCAGACGACACAGACACACACACGAGCACAACATCCGACGTTTTCGCGTTCCATTGGCTCGGGGGGCCGAAAACGATCAGATCAGATCACCGCAAAAGAGAAAATCGCACGCACACGCACGAACGCTGCACAGACACTACGCAAGCGAAGGGCGGGCGGTGGGTTTCTTCCTTTCTTTGTTTCTTTCCCACTCCCTCTCTCCCTCCCTCCCTGTCACCCTCATGTGTGTGAGACAGACGGTCGACAAATGCACAGCACACAGACAGACACGGAGGCAGGCTAAGTGACTCAAGTGACGGGGTGTTTGGGGGGAGAGGGGGAAAGGCGAACGGTCCCACGCTGCACGCGTCCATCCATCCATTTATCCATCCATCCATGCCATCCGTCTCCCCTCGCACTTGTTTCCCCGCCCCGTGGACACACACGCACCACATCCATTCACGAGGACACACACACACACCGAGAGGGTAGACGAGAAAGTTACGTTAAAACGGCTTGTTTGTTTGTTTCGTTGGTCGGATGGTTCGGTGGGAGACGCGACGACACGTAGAAAAGACCCCCAATACTTGGCGGTACACCCCACCTGGTACGTCCCATGCACACACACACACACACACACCTACACGCACACCCAGGTGTGATGGGCTGATGCCCGCCTGCATGGTGCATGCCCCCCCTTCCCACCCTTCCTCTCTCCTCCCGCCCCATCCTGTCTGTGCCGCCGTTTCGTTATAAACTCGGTTTCTTGACGACCAGTTAGTGGCCTTACCTTCCCCCGCACCCCCCTGACACGCACACACGCAGGCATGAATAAATAAGTACACACACGCACACACACACACATGAATGTCTGCCTGTATGAGCGGTAAAGCAATGGCTTGGCAGAGAGAGAGAGAGAGGAGCGATCGGAGGAGAGAGCTTGTGTACACACAGGTGATGAGGGAACAGCAGGGAGAGAGAGCGCAGGCAGACATTAAGACATCCAGAGACACAGACAGACAGGCAGACTGCCAACGCCCTCCCCCTCCAACCAACCCACCCCAGTGCCCTGTAAGGAAACCCGCAAAGCCAGATCGGTCGTGTAGGCATACAGACACCTGCCTTGCCATTCCTCCCCTCCCCTCCCTAGCCCGATGGAGTGTGTGTACGTGTATAAGGCCAGCTCGTATCTATGTTCCATAAATACCACCCGCGTATTTATGCCTGCCTGCTTGCATGGAGCCGGGCGGCCCGTTCGTTGTGTGTAAGTAGTCAGGGAGGTCCTAGCAGCCTATATCCTGTCCGTTGGTGAAGAAAGTGGGCCACCAACCAGCCAAGCAACCAGCCAGCCAAGCAGCAAACACTAGCCCCTTAAACACACGACACCACACGACGGCATGCAACACGCACACACACACACGCACAGGCACCGATGGAGGGAGGGAGGGGGCAGGGAACAAGGAGAGCTCCTTGCATCGCATCGCATCGCATCCCATCGCATCGCATCGCATCCCATCGCATCGCGTCACCGCGGCTTGAACAAATCGCGTCCATCCATCCATCCATCCATCCATGTGTGTGAAACAGGTAAGCATGCAGGCAGGGATGCACCGAGTGAGTGGAGATGAGATGAGATGGTGCGTATGTGTGTAAGCGTGTGTGTGTCGCCACAGACAGGCTCGGAAAGCACCCATCCCACACACCCCCCACACCCACACCCACACACAAACACATGAAAAACAGACTGCCTTCCGGAAGGCAGTGAGTGAGTCAGTGAGCCACTGACTGTGTATGGGATCGATCCGGCCAGAGGCGTCAGTTATGTCACCTCTGGTCCGATCTGATCCATCCATCCATCCATGGCCATGGCATGCATCAGCACTATCATGCACAGCTAGCTGACTGACTGACGACGGGAAAAACGGAGCGGGTCTCTCGAGTGTGTGAGGGATGGATGGATGTCGTGAGTGTGATGTCATGCATTGCAATGCATTGCCGCCAGACAGACAGACAGGGAGACAGACAGAGACAGGGATGTGGGCAGAACAGCTCGCTGTGTGTGTGGTGTGGTGTGGTGTGGTGTGATGTCATGTACAGCTGTGGCAGTCAGTCAGTGCAAATGAATGACGAGTCCGGTGATGTGCCGAGAGAGAGAAACAAATAAGCAGAGGCCGGTCAGCCAGCCAGCCAGCCAGCCAGCCAGTCAAGTCAAGTCACGCGCATGGCTATGGCTGTAGCAGGCTAGTACCCATCCACACCCACACACCCACCCACACCCACACATACACAGCACCAGTGAGTGCAAAAGGAAAGAAAAACGACCGGTAGACATCGCATCGCATCGGGCGCATCTCCTGTACTGCGCGCAGAAATGACCGACCAACCGACGGCATGCCTTTAAACCTGTGCAGTGCACGTGTGTGAGTGAGTGAGTGAGTGAGCGATCCTGTCAGTCCTGCAAAAACAACCAGCCAGCCAGCGAGCACTGCACCGCACTGCGTGGCGAGACTGGATGGATCACCTGCCCCATGCGTGTGACCTTCCCTTCCCTTTTCCTGCTGCTTGAAACGACCTGACTGACTGACTGACCGAATGAATGAATGACGCGGGCAGCGTGTGTGGTGTCGTGTCTGTGTGAGTGAGTAGTGAGTGTTGTGGCCGAAAAAGACGCGAGAGCAGTCTGTCGGTCGGTCTGGGAGCGATCAACGAAGACGGAGATGCAACACGGACACGCCATTTAGCAGAAGAGCACACGCATCCATCCCACACGCACATACACATACACACACACACGTCCCGACCGACCAGCCGACGTTGCCAAAACCTCGACGAGCGAGAGAGAGCGACCAACCAACCGACCGACCGAGTAGTGATGACGACGTAAATATGTCCACGGAAGGAGGTATCTACACGCGTGGCCCCCAGCCAGCCCCATCGACCACACCGACCGACCGACCGACCGACCGACAGACATCGTCAGAGAGAGAGAGGGAGAGAGACCGCGCGCCCGACATACCTGTGCACAAAACCCCATCCAAAGGGTCACAAATACCCGTACGCACCGTACCAGCTGGCCGCGACGCGACCTCTGTACCGTCCCCATCTAAAGCTGCAAAAGAGACCCGCCCCAAGCCAAGCCAAGCATCCGTCACACATCTGTCTGATCGACTCGATGGGGGGCTCCGCTCCGTGTCGTATGCACTCTCTGCTGCTGCTGCTGCTGCTGCTGCGTCATCTTGACCCAGACCGGTAGACACAGACACCCCGCCCCCCCACAAAAGGTGCACACCTACAGGCCGGCAGAGACAGACAGACAGATGGAGAGAGTGACGGAGAGCAAAAGTGCCAGCATGGTGCGAGAGGGACGGGTGAACGCAGAACAGCACTGCAGACGCAGACAGACAGACAGACAGGGACTGAGAGCAAAAGAGAGTAAGAGAGATAGAGGGTGAAAAAGAGTGGATTGTCGTCCTGAAGAGTCCCACAGCATGGCCCAACAATACACCCACCGCAGTCTCCCACCGCCCCCCGGCCGCATGGACCCCCACACTGTACCTCAGAATAGACCTGCCTGCCTGTCTGCTCTCGTCCAGCTTCGAGCCGCGTGTAGCAAACACCACATCCCACCCCTCCTCTCCCCCCGGAAAGCCCCCCCTCTCTGAGCGATGGACCAATGAGACAAGGAGTGAGAGTGTCTCCCCGCCCCTGTCTGTCCCTCTCTCTCCGTGAGACCAGTGTTGCCATCCAGAGAGGAAGATCAGTGCTTGCGCGAAGCAGGACTAGGGTGCGTCGGTGGAGGGGGTGGGGCGGGGGAGACAGACAAAGATAAAAGCACATTCACTGCGACGGACACACACACACGAAGGCTAGGTAGGCAGAGAGAGATAGAGACGTATAGATAAAGATCCCCACAGCTGTCGGCCGACACGCACGAGGGAGCCAGGCCAGCGATTAGCTCAGATGGTGGCAGAGGCAGGCCCTCACATACACACACAGAAAGAGAGAGAGAGACAGACAGATATAGAAAGATCTGGAGCGGCGGTGGTGAAAAAGGGCGCATATATGGTCGATCGAGCAAAGTGCCTGACTACGACAAACGGTGCTCTTGCGGCTTTCGACTGACTACGTACGGACTAGGAAGGTGGAGAGACAAGCGAATAGAAGAGAATAGAAGAGTCGTTTGGTGAGAAAAAGGACTTACGGCAGACAGAGTGGGTGGATGGATGGATGGATGGGTGCATGGATGGATGCCGGTGTGTCCCGCACAGCCGTCAGCCCACCCACCCACCCATTTGATGTTGATCCATCCATCCATCCATCCGCACGTCCACTTCCCTGAGTGACGAGTCAAAGAACCAAGGGAAGACATAGGTACAACATAGCATACAAACACACCCACACCCACATGAAAGACACAGACATGCCATGCCATGCCATGGCATTCGTCGCTGAAATGAATAAAAACGATCGACAAGGGTGAGAGCAAGAAACCAGAGAGAAGGTAGGTCTAGGTCTGGTCTAGGTCTGCCTGCAGGGGGTGGGGTGGGATATGGCTCGACCCAATCCAGACGCACACAGGGACACGCATGACGTCCAGGTGACTTGCCTGCCTGTCTGCCTGTCGCTTATAATGACCTGCAGTTGCGTGGACCTGCCGGCCAAAACGACATGTGTGTGTGTGTAAGTGCGTACGAGCGATCGCGCTACCCTGTGCTAGGCACCTGGACAGAAGAACCAACCGACCAATCGACCAACCAGCCACTGGGCAGCGGGGAGAGGAAGACACACACACACACACACACGCCCATGACACATCGGGTGATGTACACAAATACCACCCACCCACTCACTCACCTGTCTGCTGGCTGCACTGCATCCAGCCAGCCATGAAAGTGTACATAACTAGGCACCCTCCATCCGTCGCTCCCTCCCTCCCTCCCCCTTCGGCCTCCCGGCCTCTGTTGTCGCCCGGCTCCCTAGCTTCCCACACGCGGCAAAAATCGCACATGCCATTCGCACTAGGGCACCGTCACACACCTCGATGAATGTCCATTCACACAGACAGACAGACAGACAAACAGACAGACAGACATGGACACACAGACACGGGAGTGAGCGTGGGCGGGCCCAAAAAGGATAGATAGAAAGATGGTCGCATGGTTGGATGAATGGCCAGATGGACAAGACAGCCTCACTCACGAACGACACCCACACTGATCTCATGCATCTCTCTCTCTGTGTCTGTCCCCATCCCAGTAAGTGAGGGAGTGGTTGAGTGAGTGACCCCTTGCTTTCAACGGCGAGGAGGGAGGGCAGCAGGGTGCGAAAAAAGAGACAAACGAGGGTATCCACTCCAGACGGGCGTCTGCTGCGCAGAGGAACGGGGAGGGGAAGAGGGGAGAAGAGAGGGAGACCAGGCAAACAGGCAAACAGAGAGGCGGTCAATGGTAGGGCAACAAAGGAAAGATGACACGCGACACGAGACGGACGACAGAGGACACGCAAGTAGCAAGTAGCAAGAAGGGGCAGAGGGAGGTCTGCGGATGGATGGGTAGATGGGTAGATGGACGATGGGATGGAATGGCAGCGAGTGTGAGGGTGAGTGTAGGGGACGGGGCAGCAGTCAGCGGGTGAGGCGAGTGAGTGACGCAGCAGCGATCGACCGACACAGACGCATGCACACATGGAACCTTTCTCTCCCCCCGCCCCCGCTCTCCTCTCTGTTTCTGTCTGCGGCTCTCACTAGTCAGTCAGCCAAACGTATGCACGTGTGCCCATGAAGGCATATCAACATGAATGAGGAACGAACGGATCAAGCAGGCAGCCGAATGAAGGAAGGAAGAAAGAAGAGATACACACGGACACCCAGACTCACAGACGGACGGTAGGATGGTCCGTCGCTCGGCCAATGGCTGGATATCCCACCAGTATGCCATTACCGACTCACACACACGCGCACACACTCAGGCAAACACAGACACAGCCACAGACGAGCGAGCGAGCGAGCGAGCGAGTGACACAGTGAGGGGGAATATGCAAGGCCTGCACTGTATCGATCAGTCAATGCAGCCCTCAAAATCGCATGCAAAAAACAACTGGCGGGCGCGTGCGTTTCGGACGGATCGATATTACAGAAAGATATGGATAAAGGAAAGAAAGGGGGCACTCACTCGCTCACTCACTCACTCTTGCACACTCTCTTAGACACACAGGGACACACGTACACATATATAGGTAGATAGGTAGGTATTAGGTGGTACGTACTTACGCGTACACAAAAGGTACATATATGTATGGATCGATCCAAGCAAGGAAGGCAAGGAAGGAGGGAAATCGCACATGACATGCATATGCACCGCCAAGACTCTGCTGCACCGTCCGTGCACTCAAACCGAGCACCCGGCGAGCAAATTACAACATTGATTGATTCATTCATTCACACTCATACGTACACTCATCCGTACGTACACACATACACATACACACACGTATACATCCTTACTTACGTACTTAACGTACTTACGTCGCCCCACATCGATCTTCCCACCCACTCGATCCCATCCATGTGATGTTTTGTGTAGTGTACACGGCCAGCCGCATCAACGTGGACAGAGAGGTGTGACGGCAGGCAGGCAGGCAGGCAGCGAGGGAGAGAGGCAGGGAGGTTATTAGCGATGCCCGGATGAGAGCTGGCCGCCATCTTGACACTACAGAGGCACAGGCCAGGCAGGGAGGCAGGAAGAGGCCCGTGTGCATGGGAGACACGTGGATGGGGAAGAGAGTGGGCAGGCGGGTGGGTGTGTGGGAATGGGGCCATCCGTACATGCCGCTCGTTAAATCACGAGGAGGAACAAAAGTGCCGAATGCCGGTGCACCGTACCATGCTTCCTTGCCCGATGACCCAGCCAGCCAGCCAGCCAGCCATGGAACACCCAGCCCTGCCCCCTCTCTCTGGCGCCCACCTGTCTGTCGCTGGGTGGGGCGGACAGGCAGACGTGTGCACACGCACAGACGTAGACATGGACACATAGACAGATACGCAACCGAGGGTGGAAAAACGTGAAGACACAGTCGTCATCGAGCGATTGAAAGCAACACACACACCACAGGACAAGACGGGATAGACCGACGCACAGAGAGAGAGAGAGAGAGAGAGACGTGCGTGCAGGGACGCGACGTGCGGACGGATGGATGGAGACGTGCAGACACACAGACGGACAGACAGACAGACAGACAGGCGAGACAGACATGCCAGGCAGGCAGGCAGACAGGCAGACAGGCAGGTTTCAAGGGAAGAATAGCGTGTGTGAGTGATGTGGGTGGACGGGTAATGGGCAGAAGGAGGCAGGGATGAGACAGCAGGGATGCACACACACAACGAGCCATGCATGCAGGATGAGCAAAAAGTCACACAGACACACCACACCACGCCACGCAAGTACGTAAGTGAGTGAGTGAGAAAGTTGGGCGTCTGGCCGCCCGGCGTACCCCCCGCTCCCCTCTCTGTGGCCGCGCAATGAAGCAAGGTTAGAAGGAGGAGGGAGGACAGATCAGCAGCAGCAGCAGCACCGTGAGTCAGTGTGTGGCATGGCAGCAACCGCAACTAAGTAAGCATATCATCCATGGCCATGTAGCCAGTAAAATAGCCAGCCAGCCAGCCGGTACTCTCCGCCCTCCCATACACACGCACACGCCCCGCACAATGACCTGCATCGCATGTATTCGCTCACTCCGGCGCCTCGGTAGTTAACTCACTCACTGCCTCCTCCGACGTGTCTGTCGGTGGGTAAATCGGTGGGTATGTGAGCCGCCAGAGTCAGGATCCATCCACAACACACCATCATACACCATGACACACCATAACACACCATGTCCACCAACACAAAAAGGCAACACCGCTCAGCCGACCGCCAAACATGAGAAAACCACCTTGCACTTTATAAGTCTGTCTGTCTGTCTGTTTCCGTCAGGAGTGTTGTTCACTCCGTGGCGACGGACGATCCGCCCTGACACACTCTTTCACCCACTCATCGTCTGCTCGCTGTGTGCCATGCACGAGATGGGAGGAGTGAACCAGGGCGCATCAATCAGTTGGTATATCGGTGGACTGGTGTGGTGGACTCAAACAGCTCGGCAGCCAGCAGTGTTACATATAAGGATGAGGAATGGACTGAGCTAAAAGGCTCGCCAAAGACCGCCGCCCCTTTCCATCCATCCATCCATGGAGTGAGGAGCTGACCTGTCTGTCTGTCTGTCTGTCTGTCTGTCCTCTCTTCGCTCTCCTCTCGTGTCGTCTCTGCGATGTTTGTGCCATGCCACGCACGTAAAGGGACTAAAGAGCGGCGGTCTGTCTGTCTCTCTGTCTCTCTGGCTGTCATTGTAGGTGGGTCGTCACATCCAACGATCGAGCGATCCAGCGTCTCTTTGTGCGTGAGAAGAAAAAACCACCAAATGCACTTTGCTGCATCGCGATCCCCCCAATGGGACGATACGATGACACACCTCCCTCTGTGTCTCTCTCTCTCTCTCTCTGAGTTGTGTGTGTGTAGGGGTGCATGCTGCTTGAAAGCGCTCGCACGTGCGGACGGACAGACTGCTCGGGAAGAAAACACCACACCCCCACACCACACCCGCGCACACACGCTCTCTCTCTCTCTCTCTCTTGTCCATCCATCCATCCATCCATGAGACAGGCAGGCCACACAGGTGAATGAGTGAACCGGTACACGACGCATCATGAGTGTGTGTGTGTGTGTGTGTGATGGCATGTGAAAACATGGCTCTGCCATCGTCCATCAATCCGTCCATGAGTGTGCATCGCTCCTACATAAGTGGCGGATGGTGTGTGGTGTGGTGGGGTGGGGTGGGGTGGGGTGGGGTGAATGGGCGACATGCGGTGAGTGAGTGAGTGAGTGGGTGGGTGAGTGAGTGGGTGAGTGAGGTGAATTCGGAACAACATGTCAGCCACCCACGCAGCGACCGACAGCCAGATCAAGCCAAGCAGGGCATCTGATGACATCGGTATGAAGGCATACACACACCACACCCATACGCACATCCATCCATCCATCGATCCATTGCATACCATACAGGCTACCCGTTACACACATCACGTCACGTCACGTCACGTCACGTCACTCACGGACACACATCCACACACCACACACACCGCACCTCCCAAACATGCCATCCATCCATCCACGCATCCATCCATCTATCCAGTGAGACAAGAGACCAAAACCGCCAGTACGTAATAGTCAGTCAGTTAATGAGTCAGTCAGTCAGTGGCACATCGGTCAACACCCCCAAACACATCCGCCCACCCGCCCGCCTCACTGGCGCTCTCACTGGCGGGCCAGCCGAGTGGTCGCACACGTGTACTCACTCAGTCCGTTAACATGCGGCCACCACACCACACACGCCACCCATTTCAGTCAGCAGGTAAGAAAGCAGGTAGGGTAAGTAAAAGCCAGGAAAGACAGACAGAGGGAGAAGAGACAAGGCAACCAGCCGGGGAGGCAGGGAGGCAGGCAGCCGCAGTGTGCAAGTAGGTATGCGATAGGCATGGGTGGGAGGTATACATACGGTTTGTAAGAGGGTGTGTGTGTGTGTCGGTCGTTCGGCGGCTTAGGAAACGCCTCGTTCTTTGGGTCTCCTTTGCCGGCCGTCAGTTAGTCGTCACTCTTCGTAGTAGGTCGGGGCTGCGGCCTTCAACTCTGCACACAGACACACACAACAAACACAACACACACTCCCATCGACACCGGCCGACGCGAGCTGCTCGGGTGTGCCGCGCTGCTCTTACCGTGCTCATTGATGGTTCCGCTGCTCATGCGCAATAGGTGAGCGGGGAGCTTCATAAACACACACACACAGACACAAATGCAGAAAGTATCACACCACACTGCGACAATCGGTGAATCTCACTGACCACGGGCGACACAGCCACCGCCGGGTTGTTGGCACTGGCGTGCGATGGCGTCGACGCAGTGGTGCTGACCCCGCTGCCGCTGCGGTGCACACCCATCACAGGGGACGACCCGCTCCCACCTCCAGACACGGCACCAACACCACTACCCACGCCAATGCAGGCAGGCGGGACGTGGCCATGAGTGCCGGCGGGCTGGCAGACCTGCATGAGCTGGATGGGGCTGCACACGGCGTCCGCGGGGGTGTCGGGGAGGAAGGGCGTCTCGGGCGAGTTGGTCAGCGACGGAAGGTGCCAGGGCGGGTTGGCCGTGGGGGTGCTGCCCGCCGTCCCTGTCCCTGCTGCTGCCGTGGGGGTGACGGTGAAGGCTGTGGCCGCCATGGGGATGTGGCCCACCGCCGCAGCACCCGGCTGGTCCTGGTAGAAGGGCATGGGCGTTGCGTCCACCTTGCTGCCGCCGCTGCTGGTGGTGGTGGCGGTCCACACATGGTGGTCACGGGCCACCATGTCCCCCTCTGTGTCGATCTCGATGCCGCCCCCCAGTCGGCCTGCGCTGAGTCGGGTGGTGGGTCTGATGTCCTGAGTCGTGTGGGGCGGCTGTCTGTTGCTGCCGCCGGTGGTGTCGGTGGTCATGAAACCCCCCTCCCCCTTCCGTGTCACTTCCTGGAACGGGGAGAAGCGTTTGTTCATGTGGGGGTTGTTCATGTGGGGGTGCAAAGGGTACTGCTGATGCTGCTGCTGCTGCTGCAAATGCTGCTGCTCGCTCGAAGCCGACGGCACACCCGCACCGGCACCCACCCCCACCCCCGACACACCATCGCCTCCCGTGAGGAGCGCCAGCAATCCACCGCTCCCATCTTGCTGCTGCTGCTGCTGCTGGTGCTGCTGCTGGCTGTGGTGGTCAGCCCCCCAGAGGGGTGCGTATGCGGGCGGGGCGGGGATGGGGTCGCTCGCCGTGTGGATGGGTCGGATGAGGCTCATCAGGTGGCTGCCTTGCTGACCGGGGCGCACTGCCTTGGTCGGCACGGTGAGGATGGTGGGGAAGGAGAGAGAGGGGGCGGGGGGGTGGCTCAGTGGTGGGCCACTGGTGCCCGTGCGCTCGTCGACGGTACTGCCGCCGCTGCGATTGGCGCCGTCGGGGTGGCTGTCGGCCGTGCTGGTGGTCTGTGTTTTGTGTGGGGGTGGTGGAGTGGACTCGTTGATGGCCTGCAGGACGGTGGTGGCCTTGTTCTTGTAGAGGATGTGCTTGAGGTCGTCGATGAGGCTCTTGTCGTCGGCCTGCTCCTGGCTGCCACTGCCACTGCCACTGTTGGTGTTGTTAGCCTTTGCCTCGAGTGGGTCCGGTCTGAGCTGCAGGAAGAGCTCGAGCTCCTCCTGGCCGTGGGCGTAGCGGCAAGTCACGCCCGCCTTGCACACTCCCTTGCCCCAGAAGGTGCACAGCTTCGTCTTGTAAAACGACCTGATTAGTGAGTGATTCATCACAACACACACAGCACACGTGGCACTCGAGTGTCGGTGGGCATGGCATGCAGTCTCTCACTCACCCGGTGGCTCGCAGCTCTCGGATGGCGTGAGCGAACTGGCAGTCCGCACGGCGACACTCGCCCTTCTGCACACACAGACAGACAGACAGACAGGCAGCACACGACAGGGAGGTGCATGTCTTGTCTGCCTGAGCCAGCAAGCCAGACAGCCGTCTGCTGAGTGGAGGGTGGGTGACATGACCCACCTTGAGCAGGTTGGGGCACAGGCTTGTGCGTGTGAGGTTTGGAGCCACACGCTGATCCAACGCAACACCACACACGAGAAACACGGAACACTCACGGTCCGTCCAGTGGAGTGAGTGGTGCTCTGTCGGTGTAGGTACCAGTTCCTCAGCCGAGTGGGCGAAGTTGCATTGCGCTTGGCGATGGCAGCGACCCTGCACCTCCCATGGGCACCTGACGCAACCAACAGCGCAACACGACACACAGCATAGCATGCAGATCCCGCGGCCTGTCCCGTCTCTCGGTATGGCATGTCTCACACACATCAGTCGACGAGAGACGCACGGCCTGCCTGCCTGCCTGCCTGCCTGCCTGCATGTGGCTCCCCTCCCCCTCATCCCCTGCCCTGGCTGACGGTGTGTATGTTATGTTGTGTTGGCTCACATCTTGGTCTTGAAGAACTGCTGCTTGTACTTCTGCGGCTGCGTCAGTCCGTCCTGGCTGGCAGTCTCGGCGTCGAGCGGGCCGACAGCCGCCCAGGAGGGGGTGGTGGTGGTGGTGGTGGTGGTGCCGTCCTCGGCGTTCGTGATGGTAGTGTCGTTGGCTGCAGGTCCGCCGGGCCAGAGGCGCGGGAGGGGGGATGAAGACGCCCCGCTCACCGGGATGATGATCTCGCGACGCACCATCGCTCCAACCACTCGAGCGGCCACTCAGCGAGCACGGCCACGTCCAAAAGAGATCTAGCTGCAGGGAAGGGACAGATGCCGGGAGAGGTGGGGAGGAGCCAGGCAGCCTAGTGAAGCAGAAGCTGCGGCACAAGGACACACACACATGCAGCCGGAGATCTGCACGCGCATTGCCCTCCCGCGCCTGTCTTAGCGCACTCACTGACTGACTGACTCACTCACTGTGACTCACCAGGCAGGCAGGTCACGGTTTTGTGCGCGTGTGTGTGTGCAGCGCTGGATCAGTGCGTAGCGCGGCCTTGGCGGCTGGTCTTAAGGCTCATCGTGCGAAGGAAAAGGACCTTCCAGACCCACTTGCGAGCTCAAAGATATCCGCGATCGTGAGGAGAGAAGGCGAAAAGGACTTGAACGGCTCAGCCAGGCAGCCAGGAGGCCGACAGTGGAGGGGAACTGCATAGATCTGTGCTGAGAGATGAAAAAACAGCGAGACCTGGAGAGGCTGAAGCAGGTGCTGCTGAGGAAGCAGGCCGACAGGGCCACGGAAGGTCAGGTGACGGGTGGGTCGGTGGAGGGGGAGGGAGTGATGCATGCAGTTCTGGGTGAAATGTCTTGTTTCCTGATGTGTTGATTGACTCAGAGGCCGAGGAGAAGAAGGAGGAAGATGATATCGATGAGAATGGCGAGGCATCCGACGAGGGAGAGGAGATGGAGGGGCAAAGCGCCTCACAGTAAGCCGACTCGTACGTGAACTTGTGCGCACACGAGTATGATTTGTCGTTGCCTGTGTTGTGTTCTCGGCCCATCCACCCATCCCCCGTCAGTGCACCTGTTGGGGGGGCCAGTCGTGGTGCCCTGAAGTCACTGCTGGACGATGAAGCGGAAGAGGACGAGGATGAGGATGAGGATGGTGCGGTGACACACATCTGCACACACAGAATCCGGCACAAGAAGGGATGGAGTTCGTCCGTCTGGATGTCTGCAGATGAGGATGAGGACGAAGATGAAGAGGATGACGACGAGTTTGACGTCGAGACGATGGAGAAGAAGTCAAGACGACTCGACAGGAAGAGACAGGTGGGTCCTTAACGAGGAGTCACACTGCACACGTGGCCCCAGCTGACAGCTGGCTGTCTTCTCTCCGTGTGTCAGCGAGAGGAGGAGGAGGCAGAGGCAGCAGCCGATGAAGACTACGAGGGGATGCAGGATGGCGCTCCAGCCGATGACGAGGACATGACCCTCAACATCGACGACCAGCAGGACGAGGGCGAGGGCGGTGCCAAGCTCAGCGGAGGGGTCACCATGAAGGGCGCGTTCGACCTCGGGGCCATCAAACAGGTTCGTCGGGCGGGCGAAGCAAGCACACTTTGCGAGCGTGTGTGCTGCATACGTCTGTGTGGCGTGGGTTTGTTCCCTCTACCAGAGGATCCAGGACACGGTGATGCTGCTGGAGAGCTGGAAGACGATGGACGAGCGGGCCAGGAAAGGTGCGAGACGGACGCAGGAAACAAGCAGACAAAAGGGCATCGTGTGTCTGTGCGGCTGTGTGTGTGTGTGTGCGTTCAGGCAGGAAGCGCGCTGATTTGATGGCTCAGCTGACTGCGGACGTGAGCTCCTTCTATGGGTACGGCCCCGAACTCGCCGACTACTTCCTCAAACTCTTCTCGCCACAAGAGGTAGGTAGACCTGTCGAACACTCCTTGCTGTGTGGTGGTGGTGGTGGTGGGATTGGAGGTTTGATGTGGCTGGCTGTCTGGCTGGCTGGCAGGCGATAGAGTTCTTTGAGACCAACGAGAAGCCCAGGCCAGTCACAAGTGAGGGAGGGAGGGAGGGAGGGAGGGAGGGAGATGTGGAAACGAGCTTACCATGTGCGCGTGTCTGTGCGTGCAGTCCGGACCAACACCCTCAAGATCAAGCGCAGGGACCTTGCACAGGTGGACACACACACACAGGGACAGACGGCGGGGATACAGCCAAGCATGGTGCGCTTGCCCTTGTGCATATGCTCGAACGTGCCAGAATCTGATTGCGAGAGGAGCCAACGTGGACCCCATTGGTGAGTGAGTCAGTCACCTGGTGCACCGTGTGTGTGTCTGTCTGTCTTCAATCAGGCGAGTGGACCAAAGTGGGCCTGACGGTCTTGTCCAGCTCAGTGCCCATCGGTGAGAGAGCGACACAAGCCGCGACGCGGCCACCTCATGGACGAACCCACAGCTTGTTGGTGCTGTCTGTCGATCAGGAGCGACGCCAGAGTACATGTCGGGCTACTACATGCTCCAAGTAACTAACTGCACTGACCAGCAAGCCATGCACACCCTTCACCGCTCATCCCTCCCTGCCTGTGTGCACGTCCCCCCGTCTGTCTGTCAATCCATCGATCAGAGTGCGAGCTCCTTTCTGCCGGTGATGGCGCTGGCCCCGCAGCCGGGCGAGAAGGTCGTCGACATGGCCGCCGCACCGGGAGGCAAAACGACTTACATTGGTAAGAAAGCCATCCTGCCATCCTGCCTGCCTGCCTGCCTGCCTGCCTGCCAAGAGGAGCCCTGAGAGGATCGTTCATTTGTGTGTACGTCTGTGCGGCCTGGCTGTGTGTGTGCAGGTCAGCTGATGAAGAGCAGCGGCATCATCTTCGCCAACGACGCCAAGAAGGACCGGTGCACCTCACTGGTCAGTGAGGCGACCGACCAGACACACGGGGGTCAGCATGATATGGATCTGGTTCGTGACTCCACTCCACAGGCAGCAAATCTTCACCGGATGGGCATCCTGAACTCGATCGTTGTCAACATGGATGGACGAAAGTGAGTGAAGGAGTGAGTGAGTGAGCACAGGGAGAGTACCTACCCGCGGGGGTGCGGGGCATGGAGTGGTGTGGTGTGTATGGCTGCTTCTGCTGCCTGTCTGCTGGGCTTCTTTGGACAGGCTGGCTGAGCATCTGCCCAAAGTGGACCGGGTGAGAAATCTCTCACACCACCCCAGACACTCCAGGAGGCACCCCTGTGTGTCTGTCTGGGGCTGGTTGGCGGTCTGGTGTGTGTGTGTGCAGGTGCTGCTGGACGCCCCCTGCAGCGGGGCTGGCATCATTGCACGCGACGCTTCAGTCAAAGTCAAACGGGTCTGTACGCTTCCCCTCCTCACATCCGTGTGTTCATTCTGTGTGTGTGTGTGTGTTGGCTATGTGTCTTTTGTATTGTAGGGTCCGAAGGATTTCGAGGAGCATTCGGTTCTGCAGAAGGAGCTGCTGCGGGTGGCCGTCGACCTGGTCGACGCCAACTCAAAGACGGGCGGATACATCGTGTAAGGCAGCTACCAACAAACAAGCCAGCCAGCCAGCCAGCCACGCGCATGTGTATCTCGCACACTGCCGTGTCCTGGCTGCTTGTGCAGGTATTCGACGTGCTCCCTGAGTGTGGAGGAGAACGAGGCCGTCCTGGTCAGTCAGACACGCACCGACAGACACGAGGACAGACCTGACCCCACACACCCATCCATGGTCACGTGTTTCCTCTCTCTCAGGATCACATCTTGCACATTCGCCACGTCAAGGTGGTCCCAATCGACGCCATCGATCCCAACTTCGGCGTCCACGGTCAGCGCCCACACACACACACACACACACGCACACGACACCACACACACACAGAGCACAAACAAAACAAATGTGGCTGGCCACGTGTGTGCAGGATTGACCCGTTTCCGGGAGCGTCGCTTCCATCCATCCATCGACAACGCCAGGAGGTAGATTGGTGTGTCGGTGGGAGTCGCTGCCTCTCTCATGTCGTCCGTCTGTCTGTCTGTCAGGTACTACCCCCACGTGCACAACATGGACGGCTTCTTCGTCGCAAAACTCAAGAAGGTACCCACACACACACGCACACACGCGTGTGGCGAGTGCATCTCCTTTGTGTGTTTCAGGAGTCCAACGTCATCCCGTCTCGCATCAAGAAGGACCGACGGAAGCACAACGAGGCGGTCCAGACGTGGGACGAATCCAACATCACAGCCGACATGCTCGAGAGACCGCTCACCTTCCCAGACAAGGAGCCACCGCCACCATCTGCTTCAGCTGCTGGCGCACCATCGGTCAGTCTGCACAGAGCCACCCCAACACTCTCTGTGTGCATCCCTTGTCGTGTGTGTTGCGGTGTTGTGGCCCCCAGAGCGCCAAGAAGGGCAAGAAGAAACACAAGGGCAAGCACCAACAGCAACAGGCAGCAGCTGCGGGCCAGCCACCGGCGGCCAAGGGCAAGAAGAGACCTTCTGATGGGGAGAGGCCGCGTGACGCGTCAGGTGTGTCGAAGCATGGCAAGGTGCCCAAGAAGGGCGGGAAGGGCTCGCCGCCATTCAAACGGAGGAAGAAGGGCGGAGGGGCGGGCCAGTGAGGAGGTGGTGGGTG